AGGTTGCTAACCTCACACCAAAACTTCCCTATTTAATGAATAGAACTTCCAGAACAAAGGAAAGTAAGACCTGTGTTCAACATTTATTAGTTTTGAATGACGAGGAATAGGGAGAGGGAGATTTTCCCCATCGGGTGTATGACAAAACACGCCATAGTATAGAAAAAAGGAAGTCTATGGTTGTGCTGTAGTGTGTCGATGGTTAGAAATGGTAGAATGATTGCCAATCACGAGAGAGGTCTGCATCCGATTCCAGGCCTATACGCTCATTTTACCAGCCAGTAGTAAACTCGAGAAAGGGAGAAGGTTAGGGGTGAGGTTAGCAACCCCTCACAATAAAAACAACACCGTCGTCAGTGAGACTTCAAAGCTTGTAGTTTGAAGCTCTGTGTTCCACTTGGGAAGCAAGGAACCAAAAATACCTGCTTCACTGCTAGTGTAACTTACCTTTAAAAAATTTTTTTTTTACGAGTTGATCACGGACTGATATCAGTTAGAGAACCATTGAAAACCAGAATGGAGTACTGGACAGCTGTTTCATCCTAGTTTGGGAATCATCATCAGTACTCATCCACTGCCAGGGTTCGAACCCAGGACCTTCCGGTTACAAGGCAAGCTCGTATACCATTCAGCCACTGGGACCCGATTCAATGCCCAGCGCATGAATTCTAACTTCTACCAATTCGTGATTTAGCGCGACCACCAACCAATGTCATCGGTGGGACATCCATCCTCACACTTGACATCTGGATGGACCTCACTGGTCACGACTTCTCACTAGAACTCCAGGAAACCACCGTCCTGTAGCAAGTCACTAGCGTGCATCAGATTAATTTTCTATAGTTGGTTTGTAAGGATTAGTTTTGTTTTTTACGAGTCGATCACGGATGAAACAGCTGTCCAGTACTCTCTGGTTTTCAATGGTTCTCTAACTGATATCAGTCTGTGATCAACTCGTAAGAAAACAAAACTAATCCTTACAAACCAACTATAGAAAAAACCTTTTTTATGCTAAACATTTACAACCTTAAACTGTTGTTGCAGTGTTTAAAACAGTTTATATATATATATATATATAATTATTATATTATATTAATATATATTACAATATATATTAAGATTCACTACAGTTATACGCTGATTTGTCTAAATAAGCACTGCTATCTGAATATGTACAATGCGAGTATCAGTAGTAACAACAGTGATGTTAATAATTATTACCCAGAAGTCGGATTCATGGTGATCTCATTGATTTTGGGATAAATCTCTTCATGAAGTGACATCATTTAAAGAAATAATTAAAGAGGGGAACACTGGATAGGTGTTTTATCCTAGCGTAGGACTCTTCAACAATGCACACTCACGAATTCACCAAATTATTAAGCAGACATATTACCACTTATTCACTGGGTTGGGATCCAACTGCATATGATTTCTAGCTCTGTAAAGTAAATTAACAGAAACTAGAATTCATAGGATGTAGTGATGTCGGATCATTGATTCTAAGTGAAGAAATAAATTCAAAAATTATGATAAAGAAACGGATACTTCACTTTCTGTGTAACTAGGAGAGGGTTCTCATTTGTTGAACACAATTAAACATTCATACTGGACATATTTCAATTCTAAGGAAGAGTATTGCAATCTCGAAGACGTTGAAGTTTCTTCATCAGGGGAATAGGTGTTAGTCTTTATATATTTAAATAAGTATATTGAGGTATTACAAAAAACGTGGTAATTGTAAGGTGGATTCCTTCCCGAATCGAAATCAGTTAGAGAATCATTGAAAACATCAGGGTGCTGGATCACCGTTTCGTCTTAGCTTGTGACTCTTCACTGGTGTGCACCTCTAACTACACCAGTGGTCAAACACAAGACCTTCAAGCTGCAAGGCAAACACGTTTATCTTCCAGCCACTGGGATAGTATCCAATGTCTTAATGAGTGCTAAACTCCTACAATTCGCAATATAGCACTATCGCCATACACTGTCATTGGTCTGTCGGCTTGGTAGATGCCATCATTCATGAAATCTTATCAGAACTCTAGGAAATCCATTCCACAGTCAGTTACTAAGGAAAAAATGGATTAAATTATTTGTTGGACAGTTTACAGATCAAGTATTTAATCATACTGATGTGTGAGTTAGATGACATAAATCCCAAATATGTGTTTCTTCTCAAACTTGCAGATCAACCTTATTTACTAACAGATAAACTCTGTTACAGGATTTCATCATGAGCTGACATTGGTTAGAGAACCATTGGAAAACCTGCAGGGAGTACTGGACAGCTGTTTCGTCCTGGTTTGGGACTCTTCATCATTACGCACCCACCGGGATTCAAACCCAGGACCTTCTGGTTACAAGGCGAGCTCGTTGACCATTGAGCCACTGGAACCTGATCCCGGTGGGTGCATATGGCTGAAGAATCCCAAACTAGGACGAAACAGCTGTCCAGTACTCCCAGGTTTTCCAGTGGTTCTGTAACTGATGTCAGCTCATGATGAAATCCCCCATGAAATTTACTGGTAGTATTTTAGCTAATGGTAACTAGCATTGGGATTCAGGATGTTCATATCAACAGAGATCGAACATTTTGGGTTCAGCATAATGAATCATCGCAAAATGAAAATTAATCTAAAAACAAATAATAACTGATACCCATTACACAAGAGGTGACTGTCATGACCAAAACTTTGGGGTTTGAAACGATAGGCAGCAGGGTTCCAGTCTCAATGAAGATGCAGATACATCCAGCTGACGAGTAGCAAATAGGATGAAATGTTCATCTTAGACTTCAGTGATAGTCACCATCAACCAAAATAACATCATGTTAATCCTCAGACATCGTCGAAGCGTCCGTTATAGGAACTAACATGTCGACAGAGATCGATTATTTCAGTCCAACGTAATCAATCAACCTAAAAACAAATAATCTACTGGTAACACTTTAAATATGCTCTCAGTGTTGTACATGTTTTGTTCGTGTCTAGTAGAGAGTAGAGTATACAGTTCTCAATGCTACTATTTTATTCTCTTATATTTAAGCGTCTTAGACTGTGTTCCATACTGCTTTAAGATACTTATTTTGTTGCCATCTTCACTGTATATTCTCTTACATGGATATAAGAGATTTCAAGGCATACATGTCACACTTGGGGTAGCTTTTTTTCCAAAGATTGCTTTCTAATATATTTTGAAATGAATTAACTTTTCTATAGTTTGGTTTGTAAGGGTTAGTTATGTTTTTACGAGTTGATCACGGATTGATATCAGTTACAGAACCATTGAAAACCAGGGAGTACTGGACAGCTGTTTCATCCTAGTTTGGGAATCATCGGCACTACCCACCCACTGCCAGGGTTCGAACCCAGGACCTTCTGGTTACAAGGCAAGCTCGTATACCATTCAGCCACTTGGACCCGATTCAATTACTTGCTACAGGATGGAGTTTCCTGGAGTTCTAATCAGAAGTTGTGACCGGTGAGGTCCAATTAGATGTCACGTGTGTGGATAGATGTCCCACCAACGACAATGGTTGGGGTCGCGCTAAATCACGAATTGGTAGAAGTTAGAATTCATGAGCCATTGAATCGAATCCCAGTGGCTGAATGGCATACGAGCTTGCCTTGTAACCGGAAGGTCCTGGGTTCGAACCCTGGTAGTGGGTGAGTACTGCCGGTGATTCGCAAACTAGGATGAAGTAGCTGTCCAGTTTTACGGCGCTGGTTTTCAATGGTTCTCTGACTGATATCAATCCGTGATCAACTCGTAAAATTGAATTAACCAGTTTGTTACCCTTGTATACTTTGATTGGACACTAGTTAGTAGCTAGTGTAGTGTGTCTAGTCCTTTATTTGGTGCAGACTGAATTCTACGGCCAACATCCTAGACGGCTCGCCATCACGGTGCACTTTGAATTGTTGATATTAGTGGTAACGTCTCTGACTGCAGCACCGGGTGACGCGGGTTCGAATCTCAGAAGGGACATGAGTTCCTTCAAGGTTGCAGATACGCCTTGCTAACTTCTGAGTGCCAACTAGCACGAAACCTAGGTTCAAGGCTTTCTGCCGATTGCCTCCAACCACTGTTACTACTGTTTTAGTAAGATAATTTTCATTTTCATTACGAAGTGAACGGATCTTCTTTTATTTTCTTCCAAGTGGTTTTTATGCTACTACTGGTGTAATTAACTGAATGACCGCTAAAGTTACTCCATAAAACAAGAGGGACACTATCTTTATAATATGAAACTGTGTGCGTGTATGAGTTTGAGGAAATCTGATAAATTTTAAGTTAGACCTCATCACAAATTGACATGAATTAGAGAACCATGGAAAACTTAAGGATAAATACTAAACGGACAGCTATTTCGTCCGAATCTCAGACTCTTTAAATATTAAGTATTATGAATGAATTTTTAAAATGCATCAAGCTATATACTACTGACTGGTCGATATGGGTAGTTGGATACTACTCACATTAGTCAGTAGTATTTCCTAGCCAAGATCAAAGTAATATAAACACCAGATATCCATTTCATTCTTTTGAGGCCTAGCTCATCAACTGTGTACCCTCTTTGAGTCAACTCAGAGTGCTACTGATAAGTTTTATCAGTAGTATATAAAGAGACGTTCATCGGCATAAAAACACCAAATAGCAGGGAGATACATTTGATTTCAGAGAAGGCAAGTGATACAGCGTTGTGGAGATACATCGAAGAAGTGAAAGGAACATAAAGAAACACAACATGAAGTTCAGAAGTACCACAACACGAAGATCTGTGCAAATGATGCGTTGAAGATAAGGTATACATAATTTTACTATGCAGCGATACCAATCCCTACGCTAACTTTCCCTGACTGTTTCAACCAGGCTAACTACATGGGCTGACCTGTATTACATTTATGAATCTTTGTAATAATTTATAAATCTTATGAAATTGAATATTTTTAAAAATTTTACTGTGATTACTTATTTTTCTTTCTTTTTATTTATAGAAATTTTTTATTCGTAGTTCTAAAGGAGAGAATTTCAGTAAATATACATGTACGAAATCGAATACATGTGAAATTAATAAAGATACTCGTACACACTGTCAACGCTGTCGTTATCAAAAGTGTATACAACTAGGAATGGTATTACCGGGTAAGTGAATTCTAACCCAAAAAATAGGATCAGTAACTATGATCGCCTTTGTTTTTATTTATTTATTGAAAAATGAACAAACAAGCAAACAAACAACGGCAGTTTTCAAGAGTACACATATTCTCTTGATCATTTTCTTCAAAATGAGAAGAATAAAAGTTTGTAGTAAAAATGTACGCAATTTATTTTGAGGCTTCTCCTCAGCTGCACACATCTCTAAAAATATACATAGGATTAATGAAACAAGAACATAAGTAACGGTGGCAGAGTTGTTTATTTCGCCTGATGATGTACAGTGATGGTAAAGTACAAAAAGGTTATTCGTATTCTTCTTCTTTAGTCTTCCTTTCATGCCTTCTATATTGTTTTATAATAATCTTCATTCCTCCTCCATGTAGCTTAATCCATCGCTCCGATATATAAGATTCTTGCAGGAGACATCACACATCCCTTGGGTTTCGAGTGGAACATACCGCTTCAACTACACATCTCCACTTTGTTCTATTTTCTGCCCTCCTCTTTAGCTGAGTCCACGATTGCCCATAATCTCTCATCTCCTCGTCACACGGTCTCCTCCATGCCACCCTAGGACGACCCACTCGTCGCTTCCCATTTGGATTCCACTCGAGGGCTTGGCGCACGATGTCATCCGACGGTTTCCTCAATGTATGCCCGATCCATCTCCATTTTCTCCCACATATTTATTGAGCGATCGGCCCTTGGTTGGTTTGTTCCCTCAGTTTCTTGTTACTAATTCTTTCTGGTGTCTGCAGTTCAGCGGTAGAAAGCTCGTTAACCATAGACGTGGTCCGGGACTCGGTACCTCGCAGACGTACTCCTTTACCTCGCTAAGCCGGTAGTATTATTATTTATTATTATTATTTCCTTTAGTTCCTAGAGGAACATAGGGCTTCAGCCACACCGCACGTCTCCATTGCGTTCGGTTCTCTGCTAGAGTTTTCACCTGGCTCCAAGTCTGCCCATACGCTTTCAATTCTTCTTCACATTATCTCCTCCACGTCACCCTTGCACTGACGACCAACTCACCGCTTCCCTTTCGGGTTCCACTCGAGCAATGGCTTGTCTAGTGATTTCACTTGATGGTTTCCTCAGAGTGTGGCCAATCCATCTCCATTTCTTCCTGCCTATTTGTTTCACAATCGGTTTCTGGTTGGTTCGCTCGTTGCCAGAGATCCCTGTTGCTGATCTTTTCTGGCCGGCCATCTGATCTTGAGTATTGAGCGAAGACATCTGTTAATGAAGGTCTGTAGTTTGTTTGAGGTGCTCTTTATGACACGCCAAGTCTCTGATCCGTATAGTAGTACTGACTTCAAATTGGAGTTGAAAATCCGGATCTTATTTTTGACGCTGAATGCTGTTGACCTCCACACAGACTTGAGAGTAATGAAAGCTTGTCTTGCTTTCCTGATCCTTGCTTTGATATCCTTGTCAGTTCCGCCTGTAGTTGAAACAATGCTTCCCAAGTAGGTAAAGGAGGTAGTTTCTTTCAGGTTCCTTCCATTTATGCTGATTGCTGTCTGTTGTTGTTGTTGGTGGTGTTGGCCAGGAATCTTCATCACCTCTGTTTTCTCTATGTTCACCTGAAGTCCTATCTTTGATGCTCCTTCTGCCAACTTGTTGCTTTTCGTTTGCATATCCTCCAGTTTGTGGGAAATCAGACATATATCATCGGCGAAGTCCAGATCCTCCAAGTTTTTTGTGTGAGTCCATTTTATGCCTGTTTCCTCATTGCCCGCTGTCTGTCGCATTATCCAATCTACTGCAATCAGGAAAATCATTGGCGATAGTAGGCAACCCTGTCTTACTCCTGTCTTCACTTCGAAGGATTCCGTTAGTTTCCCGTTGTGGATTACTTGGCATGCAGCGTTGTCATACAACTGTGGGATGAGATGTATAATTGTCGGCGGCACCCCGTAGTAGCGAAGTAGTTGCCAAATCACCTCTCGATCGACGCTGTCGAATGCCTTTTCAAAGTCGATGAAGTTGAGATAGAGAGGTGACTGCCATTCCAAACTTTGTTCAATGATGATCCGTAGTGTGGCGATTTGATCAGTACATGACTTGTTTCTCCTGAATCCAGCTTGTTCCGGTCGAAGTTTTTCATCCAGGGCTTGTTTGATCCTTTCCAGGATGATGCGGCTTAGTATTTTGCTTGGGATGGACAGGAGCATAATTCCGCGCCAGTTCTTGCATTGACTTAAGTCTCCTTTCTTTGGTAGTTTGAATAAGTATCCTTCCTTCCAATCCTCGGGTACTTTGCCTTCTTTCCATAGCCGCGGTATGCCTCTGGGTGAGAGTGGGATGCACAATTTTTGGGGGGCCGACCTTTTCTAACCCCCCCTTTCCGAGAAAGGCAGCATGGGACGCGCCCAGAACCGTGTACCACGGCCTGAACTCATGCTGGTCGCCCGAGGAGAACACCTTACTGCCGGTACATCCCCTACTGCCCCAAGCCGGTAGTAAGAACAGTAAATAGGGAAGGTTGGGCATGAGGCTGGCAGCCTCATCCCGTGAAGATAAATACTACTGCCGTGTTCTTCGTGCTTTGATGAAGAAATTAATTTAGTTTCGTGATGTTATATTGCTACTCATTGGTTAATATGAGTAGTTGGCTACCACTTACATCAAATCCCTGCAAATCTATGTGAGCCTAAGTGAATTTAAATTCATACAGTTTTCAAGTATTGGTTTATGGGGATTTGACTGATTGGTTACAGGATTTCATCATGAGCTGACATCGTTTAGAGAACCATTGGAATACTTGCAGGGAGTACTGGACAGCTGTTGCCTCAGCCTAGTTTGGGACTCTTCAGCATACAGTTTTCTTCTTCATAATGGATCATTCCTTTTCGTTCCTTTTCACAAACAACTGAAGAACTTTACTAGAATCCTAAAAAACGAATATAACAAAAATCTACAATGCATGTTGTTATATTATACTGACTGACTGGTATGACTGGTTGAATATCACTCACATCAACTATCAGTGCTTGTTGACCAGATCGAAGTGATCTCTAAACACTGGACATTCCTCCATTTTTTGGGGTGGAGCTGATTGGCGATGTGTCTGGTTTGACTCAACTCAGAGACAGCCGAATCAGTTGAAATCACTCGAATTCCGGTTAGCTACATGGGTGGACTGGTAACATGTGCATCGGTGGCATAGCGGTTAGGACGCTCGCCAACCATGCACATGTTCCGGGGTTCGATCCCCGGCCGACGCACTCCTTTACCTCGCTAAGCCAGAAATAATACTGGTGAAGAGGAAAGGTTGGGCATGAGGCTAGCAACCTCATCCTGTAAAATAAACACTGCTACAGAAACTTCAAGCCACTAGCTTGAAACCCTATTTTCCAATGGGGAACGTGAAGGAAAAAAACACATGGGTGGACTGGTAATACATTGGTTGTCATTTATATATAGCATCAAGCAGATCGCATCACATATTGTTATTTAAATAATTCTGATTTTCAGAGGGAACTGCGGTGAAATTTCACTTCGAACTGTGTAAACTGCAAATGGCGGATTTGATATAATCTCGCTTTTCTCACTTACTCGTTTTATCTTATCATCTTGCTGGCGGGGGGTATGTTTTTAGATACTGAAAGCCAACCGGAAGAACACTTTAATTTATTTAACCTCAATAACGCACTTCTTAGGATTTATGAATAAGGTCGGAGTTGATCAGAAAGTATATTCTTTCTAACGATTAGAACTTTTATTACTCAATTCTGAATTCTGTGTAACACACACACACACACACACAGTACAGTAGTATCTTGGACTATCATGAAAAAGAAAGTAGTCAGCGTTATTTTGAGGCAGCTATTGGATTTTCTGGTAACATTTACAAAATAGTAGAGAATTTCGCTTAAACCTACTGTATTAGTAAATTAATGGATTTTTCAGTTACCTTGTGTATTCAGTATTCTTTAAACCTCTCCTTTCTTTTCTGTAGTATATCCACAGAGTGTAGTAATAGTGTAGTACGTACCACTGGTTGAGAAATGAGGGCAGTTCACACTGTTCACACTGTAATAACATAGATTTTTAGTAGATGAGCATTGATTGTGTGAGAATCTTTCGAATCGACAGGCTTCTGTGTCGATGCAATGAGTGAAGACTACAGATGATGTGATGAAAATCTAGGTTGTCATAGGTTTCGAAACATAAGCGTCTGAATTATTAGTGTGCTGCTATGTATCACAGTTAATTCTCAACTGTCGGGTGAATGAATGATACGTAATTTTCAAGGGTTAATTTGTAAGGATTTGATTGGTTTGAGGTTTAATCATGGATTAATGGCAGTTTTGGACACATTAGTGACTAACTGCAGGATGAAGTTTCCTAGAGTTCTAGAGAGAAGCTGTGACCAGTAGGGTACACCAGGCCACGCGTGAAGACAGATATCCACCTATAACGTAAGATAGCGGTGTAGCTGTATATCACTAATTGATAGGAGTTAAAAATTCATGGACCACCCGATTCCGTCCCAGTGGCTGAATGGTGTATGAACTCGTCTGATAAGCAGAAGATCCGCGGTCATGACTGAGTACTACTGAAGATTTCCAAACTAAGACGAAACAAGTTCCTAGTACTCCCCGGTTTTCAATAGTTCTCTCACTGATATTAACCCGTGATCAAACTTGATGTATAACTGTCCTCTTACCACCACGATAACTATTCAGCTAAATCTTTTCTTGTCAATTCTAGTCATTGGATGGGGGGGTTCATCATGAGCTGACATCAGTTAGAGAACCACTGGAAAACCTGGGAGTACTAGACAGCTGTTTCGTGCCTAGTTTGGGACTCTTCATCAGTACGCACCCACAGGGGTTCGAACCCAGGATCTTCTGGTTACAAGGCCAGCGAGCTCGTAGACCACTGAGCCACTGGGACCCGATCCAATGGCCAGTCCATGAATTCTAACTTCTGCCAATTCACGACGTAGCGCAACCATTTCGCAATGTCTTCTTCGATGAGTCACTGCCTCATCTTCAACCTGTACCTACTGAAATCCCCCCTCGAATCAAACTAAATCCCTACAAAACCAATACTTGAAAATTCTAGTCATATTGAATCAAGAAAGAAGCAAGTTTTTCTTAACTGATAGTTAGGTTGACAGTTTGCTACTAATTAATATAGTCTGTGTTAAAGGCGGTGAAATGATAGTCGACTTGTCAGTCTGGCGTTGTAGCTTAGTTCGTAGACCACTGGAGTAGTAATTCAGAATTCCAACAGTTCTAATCGTATTGCGACTTGATTTCTGTTCACACTTTCAGTCATCATGCACTACTACATTAATGTTAGGTGTAGCTGAAAGCAGTCAGTAGGCTGCTTGCTCTATGTGTATCAATTCAGTTGACATTTGTAAATATTAAAAAAAAAGAAAAGCCTTACTGACACGTAGTAACACACTCACGAAATCTCTTAGAAGGTTGTTTTTTTCCCGCCTTGATTATTTCCAAGTAAAATAAACAAAAACAAAACTGAATTCAAAGCATTTTCTACAATTCTGATCATAATGCACGTAGAGAGAAATGTCACTTTCCATCTACAATTCAATGAATGATTATAATCGATGACAAATAAATGATACACAGTATCTATCTATCTATCTATCTACATAAACAGCAAACACCTTATAATTTATATAAGGCTGTAGATCTGACTACTCGCCACAGAGACTTTTAATTATGGCTCTGTGGCTCGTCTATTCATTCCGGTACAGTACACTATAAAACAAAGAGAAAAGAAAGAAAGAAAGAAAGGCTAATCTCTTTAATTCATTAATCATTTCATTAAACGTGATTATTTATTATCAAGTAAGTCAGAGTAAATCATGTCATGTCTATGTCATGTCATGAATAAATATAACTGTATTTTATTTCCCTTTAATATAATAATAACAATAATAATAATAAACTATTCACCGTCACCTTTGTTCTTCCCTCCCTCCCCTCTCCCTCTTTCTCTTGGTTTACTTTCACTAAATACCGACCGCATTAAGAATTTTCCAAAGTGAACAGTGATAAACTTTCATTATCTACTCTAATAATGGTTACAATGTATGTGTATACTGCAGCGGTGGTGATGATAGTTATTAGATGCGAGGGAAAAACGTGATCTTTAAGACATTATTATTATTCATAGTAGTGCATACTTTTATGCTTTTTGGTCTTTCCCAGTCTCTTCGTCCCCACATACACACACACACACATGTAGGGATGCATCTACAGGCATGGATCAGTCAGTATTCATTGGGAAATCTATTAGTAATAACAATAACAATAACGATAACAGAACAAAAACAATTTCATGTCACCCATCTCCACTGTATTTCTCAATTCTTTGTAACGGTAGGAGACAGGAGACTCGGTAATGGATTTGGTATCTCTGTATATAGGGAAATTATGTACACCTTGTGTGAAAATCGTCATTTGTACAGATCTTCCGTGTTGTGCTACTTCTGCCTCCTTCGTATTGTCTTTCTTTGTCTTCTTTTCGTGTTTCCCATGTTTTACTACAACGCTGAATCATTTGTTCTCTTTGATGTCAAATCTATCTCTCAGCTATTTGATATTTTTATGCAGATGAACGTCTCTTTGTATACTACTGATAAATCTTATCAGTAGCACATGTCACACCTTCAGTTTATACAATTTTTTTCAATAGATTAGATCAGAAATTATTTGCGAATCAAGCTATTTTTAACTTTTCTATATATATTAATTTATAAACTGTGGGTAGTTGATGTAGACTTCGTGGCAGACCTACATTGATTAGTTAGACAACCAGTACTGTACAGTACAAGCGATTTTTTCTAAAGTTTGGTTTGTAAGGGTTTGTTATGCTTTTACGAGTTGATCACGGACTGATATCAGTTAGAGAACCATTGAAAACCAGGGAGTACTGGACATCTGCTGTTTGGGAATCGTCGGCAGTACTCACCCCACTGGGGTTCGAACCCAGGAACTTCCCGTTACAAGGCAAGCTCGTATACCATTCAGCCACTGGGACCCGTGACAGTGCCCAGCGCATGAATTCTAACTTCTACCAATTCGTCATTTAGCGCGACCCCAACCACTGTCGTTGGTGGGACATCCATCCACACACGTGACATTTAATTGGACCTCACTGGTCACGACTTCTCACTAGAACTCCAGGAAACTCTGTCCTGTAGCAAGTTACTAGCGAACATCAGATTAATCTTCTATAGTTTGGTTTGTAAGGGTTTGTTATGTTTTTAAGAGTTGATCACGGACTGATATCAGTTAGAGAACCATTGAAAACCAGCATGGAGTACTGGACAGCTGCTGTTTCATCCTAGTTTGGGAATCATCGGCAGTACGCACCCACTGGGATTCGAACCCAGGACCTTCTGGTTACAAGGCAAGCTATGTTGAACATGAACCGAATTCAGTTAGAGAACCATTAGTAATCAGGTGGTATTAGACAAAGTCTCAAACAAGGATAAAACAACTATCTAGTACCCCGTGGTTTTCAGTGGTTCTCCAACTGAAGTCAGTTCTTGATGAAACTTGAAATCAATCAGATCCCCGCAAAGTGACACTTAAAAAATGGTTCTTTCTAGTTTGCGACTGTTTTACAGTATCTGCGCATGACCCTATGAAGGATTGTACTAAGAACTGTAGACCTTCGAGGCATTCAGACTATATTTAATCAAATACACATTTTCGTAGTAGACTCCCCAAGCTTCTAATAAGAAGTTATAACTGATGGGTTCATACTAACAGAGTTTAAGAACAGTTACTCATAGACAGAGCAACTATATTTCTAATTGACAGAAGATAGGAATAAGCATAAACTCCTGGAATTCAACATAATGGCTCGGTGTAACGTGAGTGTAGTAAGACTAAGTGGTTCAGACTTCTATATGTTGTAGGGTTGGGAGACGGAGAGTACTGCCGAGGAATTCTAAAACAGAAGTATCAATTCGTGAAGCAGTCTAACTTTAAATAAATCCACTCCGCACAAGTTCAAAATACACATTATCTATTATTTTGTGATAGTTTATTTATTTATTTAAAATATTAAGTACCTTGAACATTGAATATCTGTTAGTTGTACAGATTCATAAAAGTCATTACTATGCCTAGTCCTGTTGTTTGACTCCAACTACATAACATCATTTCAAAGTGTACCGTAATGGAGAGTCACCTAGCTCGGTAATTAATCACATTGTAAGCTTCACTGGTAGAATTCACTCAGTACCAACATTAAGGACTCGACACATGACATTGCTTGATCAGTCAAAGAAATCATTTAGATTATTTATTAGTGTATGAATTAAGATGTCCCTCTGTGACAAAGTAGTGGGAAAACTCTTTTTTTTTTAAGTAGTTGATCAGATGGTCTAATCTAATCTAATCTAGTCACTCTAATCTAATGTGATTACATCACTACTGAAGTTCAGGTGAGACCTAGTTATCAATTCGCTGTCAATCAAAGGTGTCTATATTATCAGCCTGGCTGTCTATCAAGTAGTCTACAAGATCCAGTCATTTATTAGGTCTTAGGTTTGCCTCAACAACCTATGGTAGTCTGATCAGTTATTTGAATTGGGCTCAGAGTGATATTATCTAGAGTTTATACAGGAAAAATCTTTAATGTGAACCTTATATATTCATTCTTGTATTACTGAACTCAATTTATTAAATGTTGATGGGTGATGACTGAAAGTGAAGTGAAGATCTGGTTCTCGGCAAGGTTCGAAACAACAGTCTCCAAATTACTAGTCCGATGGTCTACCAGCTAGGCTACGAGAACTAGATGCGATCATTACTGGTAGCACCCATCTGTCATGTGAATGAGTGATACATAGATGTTCGTTTTTCATAAAGTCATCTACCGAACTAGTTCTTATCTGGTCATTTGAAATCATAGTAAATTAGGCATAGAGGAGCATGCTGTTCGAGGCTTGACACCTCCAATCATTACCCATTACATCAGTTATGTAGTGTACAGATCCAAAGCCGTCCTAGATAGTCTGACCATTAGTGATTACATATTCTTAACATCAGTTAATAAATATTTCTGAAAACATCTATGTTTACTCACTTTTTTACTTTCATATTGTAGGAGCTGCTGTGTTTCCAGTTACTGATATATCAGAAATACCATGTCGTGTTTGTGGAGCAAAATCATCAGGTTTTCATTTTGGTGCAATAACATGCGAAGGCTGTAAGGTAATAATACAATGAAAATATTTTTACACCTTCACAATGAGTATTATTATATGATATTTATTGATGAATACTGAATAATCTAAGTATGAACATTTATCATTGTGACAATCTAGGTTTTCATTTGTTTGTTGGCACTCATGAGAAGGGCATAAACACTAAGATATACAAGCAAAAATCAATAAGTTGGTAGGAGAGGCAGTAAAGAAAGACAGAGATGATGAAGATATCTAGTCAGCAGCAACTAGCACCAATCAGCGTCAACAGGAGACGTCTAAAAGACTGACCTAAGCGGCATAGTTTCAACTATAGGTAGGCGACAGAAATGAGCATGTCAAAGTCAGCGAGGATCGGATCGGGAAAGCAAGAGAGGCATTCATTATTATCAAATCAGTGTGGAAATCTGCCGTACTTAGCATAAGGAAGGATATTCAGATTCTCAACACTAATGTGAAGTTAGTACTTCTATGTGGTTCAGAGACTTGGCTTGTCATCAAAAGCATTTCTAAAAAGCTACTTCAGACCTTCATTAACAGCTACCTTTGATCGATACTGAAGATCAGATAACCCGGAAGGAAAGAATATACAAGGAACTCTGGCTAGGAACCAACGACAAACATGCCACCCATCAGATATGGAGAATAAAGATTAGACATACGCTAAGCAAACCGCTGAGTGACATCACGCGCCAGGTTCACGAGTGGAAGTCGATCAGAGAGGGACGAGTTGAGCTTCCGAGTATGATATGGAAGAAATCATAGAAAGAGGAAATTGAAGCTTACAGTAAGTAGTAGAGCCAGTTAGAAAAGTCTGCAGAGAAAAGAGTGGAATGGAGATGTTCTGTTGAAGTCCCATGTTCCACTCGGAACCTATGGGAATAATTATAACTGCAAACTTTGCTGCCAACATTCAGTCCACACCAAACAAAGGACAAGACACATTTCACTAATTACTAACTAGTTTCCAATCAAAGAGTAATATTAATAATAATTAGTACACTGGGATGTTTCAACCATGTTAGTGTACAGAATGCATGTGAAGATATAAATAATAAGTAATAAAAACAACTTCATTGCAGACAATATGTTGGCACATATTAAGGTATTCTCAGAGTATTCATTTTGCAAAATATTTACTCTTTGTACAGAATCTTCGAGTAAGATGGTTTTTTTATTCCTTCACGTTCCCAGTGGAACATAAGGCTTCAAGCTAGAGGCTTGAAGTTTCGGTAGCAGTGTTTGTTTTTACAGGATGGGGTTGCTAGCCTCATGCCCAACCTTCCGTTTTTACCAGCTTTATTTATTACCGGCTTAGTGAGGTGAAGGAGTGCGTCGGCAGAGGATCGAACCCCGGACCATGTGCATGGTGGGCGGGCGTCCTAACCGCTGTGCCACCGGCGCACCAAGAGTAAGACAGTACTCGACAGTACGTCATATGACGTTATGCTGATCCATATGACGCCGCATCTAATCCTCTAGGACATTGTCCTTTCATTCTCTTTGAAAAGTAGTCGTCATTGCATTGATAGCTGATCTTCAAGTTCATGTAGAGCACCAAAGATATAACTGGTTGATTATAAAACAATAAGAAATGGAGAACATAAATCAAATTCACAATTTGAAATGTACACCGCTGATTAGCTCGGCCCAAATGGCCGAAATGACCATTTGGTGTTTAGATCACCTGAATCTGGCTAGCAGGCACGGATGGTATAAAACTACTCATTTCAATCAACCAGTAGTATATAGTTGTATGCAAATGGAGAACAGTTTATTTTATTTTATTGATTACAGCTTGATTCCACACCGTATTTTTAGGTGCAGGTATGGAGTTTTCAGCATGTGATATCGGTAGCCCAAATTTTGCAGGCCAACCATAGATATCAGGTGTGTGTCGGCGGGGTGTCGAACCCCGGACAATGTTCGTGGTCGGCGAGAATCCTAACCACTATGCCACCGACACACATATCATATCGGATGGAAATTTATACATCCCAGTAATCTAAGCAGGCTGCTTGACTTGCCATACTGCCGAAAATTAATTATTTAGTTAATAGTCCTAACAGATATTGTCATTTATTTTCTCATGGATTATACGAAATTTAAGTTTACGATCATACCATCATGGTGTCTGATAAGTTTCCATTTTATAAACTTACTACTATTTACTTTTTCAGTAGTAAAGTTGATTCACAAAGAAATGTTGGCAAATTTCACCAGTAAAATGCTTGTGCAAAGTATTAGATAGTTGAAGGCAGTTGGCAGAAAGCCCTGGATTTGGGTGCCGTGCTTGTTGGCACTCACCAGGAAGGCGTATCTGCAATTTCTTAGGAAATTACGTCTCCTTTGAGCCCTCCACACCCAGAGCTACAGTCAGAAACATTGCCACTGAGCTATTCAGGTCCGTGATTGACCTCTTGTAGGACTGTAGTGGATACTTTGATCGGTCACTAGTTGGTAGCTAATGACATAGGTTTAGTCCTTGGGTTGGTGCAGACTAAATTCCACCAGTAGGTTAATTCAGTGTGCACCGCAATCACTGGTTACCTAGCTATAGTGACCACATTGCAAACTTGGCTAATAGAATTCAGTCATTATCGACCCACGGACTAGACTCACAACAGTGATTACTATCTAGTGACCAGTCAAAGTATCTACGGACTAAATTTGTATGCTTCTTATCTTGGTGTCCGAAAAGTTGTTACTTTTTCACTTTCTATATGATATTTACACAATGTTAGTTTTACATTGTACTTTCTCTGATACAAATTGTTTACTTATCGATTTCTTGAGAGCAACCAGCATCAGTGTTTTCTTGACCACATTGGTGACTAGACTTAGTTTACAGACTACTTGGTGAGCTTGATACAACGCTGCATGCTTATAACAATCTGTTACTTGTACAACTGATCGGGTTTCCGTTTCTGCATATGTTACTGAGATCATAAAACTGTTTAATTATATTAGCAGTACTAATTTAGCATACTATTAAGATTTCAGTAATGGAAGACATTATTTGACCAGCCAAGATTTTGTGTTAAATAATCTAGACAAGATGTGGAAGGGTATTAGATAGTTGGAGGTAATCGAAAGGAAGCCTTGGAACTAGGCTTCGTGTTAATTGGCACTCACCAGTCAGTAAAGCGTATCTGTAAACTTGAAGAAACTGATGTCCCTTCTGAGGTCCGAATCCACGTCACCCAATGCTGCAATCAGAGACGTTACCACTGAGCTATTCGAACTCGCGATTGACCTCCTCCTGTAGGACTGTGCTGGATATTTTTCGCTGGACACTAGTCAGTAACTAGTGTAATATGTCTAGTCCAATCTTTGGTGCAGACTGAATTGTATCGGTCAAGGCTTCCTACCGATTGCCCCCAACCATGTAATATCAATAATTCAAAGTGCACTGTGATGGCGAGCCACCTAGCATAGTGGCCACATTACAAACTTGACTGAGAAAATTCAGTCTGCATCAAAGATAGGACTAGATACATTCCACTAGTGTCCAATCAAAAACTGTTCAAGAGGCTAACTGCAAATTTCACGCTTAATATTTTAGTTAATATAAATTCTGTTGAATCACATTTCTTTTTTTACAAGTAAAATTGCCATTGTTTTCTGTTTGAAATTTAAGTGGCTTGAAAGTTTACCATATAATTCATCTAGTTGTTCGTACTGTCGTAAATAACTGTTATTAGCACTTCAGCGATGAGTAAATACCATTTTTGGAAGAATGGTAATTTTTTACAAATCGACATCAAGTACTGGTTTTGGTGGGATATTGTTTGATTGATTGGAGGATTTCATCATGAGCTGACATCAGTTAGAGAACCACTGGAGAACCTGCAGGGAGTACTGGGCAGCTGTTTCGTCCTAGTTTGGGATTCTTCGGCGACTGGCCCTATTCAGACAATTAACCTGGGGTTCTAGTGGGAAGCCGTGACCAGTAGGGTGTAGCACCATGAACTGGCAGAAGCTGGAATTTATGGACTGGCCATTGGGTCGGGTCCCAGTGGCTACTGAATAGTCTACGAGCTTGCTGGCCTTGTAACCAGAAAGTCCTGGGTTCGAATCTCCTGTGGTGAGTGCGCACTGATGAAGAGTCCCAAACTAGGATAAAACGGCTGTTCAGTACTTCCTGCAGGTTTTCCAACTGATGTCAGCTCATGATGAAGTCGTTCAGTCAAATTGATATCAATTAAGTAAACATCGAGAATCAGGAAGCGTTTAATAGCTTCCAGGGAGCCGAAGTCAAGACTGTGAAGTTAAGCATCTGGTAAGTTGTTATTCACTGAGTTAGAATCTAATGATCTAAGATTGAAACTTATGACAGTTTACAGTCCAGTAGCGACCAAAATATAGACAGATTTCCTACAATCCACCAGTAGGATCCACTAATTTCGGTGGTGAGGACAAGTAATCATTGGTGACATAGGATAATGGTGGCGCTATATTGACAGAATCATGAACCATTGGGTTCATACATAGTAACTGAAGAGTAACATGCTTATTGTATAGTCTGAAGACTTTGAGATACACTCCTGATATGGTCTTGGTTGCACACTGTTTAGTAATCTTAAGTTAGGGCAGGCAAATTTACCAGTACCGTTTAGTTTTAAATGACTGCCTTAGACGACGTCAATACGTGTTAAATCAAATCTAAAATCAATCAAATCTCCATTAAGCCAACAGCTTAAATATTAGTTCCATAAACTGAACTGCCTTAGTGTTTTTCATACTCTTTTAAGTAGGCTAGAGGAAAATCAAATATGTATAGCTGATAACTGTTGGTTTTGAAAAGATGTACATTCATAAGACCAACTTTTTATTTTATGAACTAAATGCATTTTACTAGTTGGATAACTATGCAAGAATATTGATTTTCCTATGATGTGTATTGTTTTGACTGGTGAACACCAGTTTTGTGTGATGGTGTCTCAAGTTTGAGCAAAGATTGATATCATTTAGAGAAAAATTGAAAACTAGGGAGTACTAGACGTCTGTCTCGTCCTAGTTTGGTACTCTTCAGCAGCACGCACCTACGACTCCACCAGGGATCGTACTAGATACCTTTTGGTTATGAGACCAAACTCAGTCATTATTAAGCCGATTAGGCTGGAATTCGATGACCCGTAATTTCTAACTTCTGTCAACTAGCTATATATAGCACCACCGCCAGCCAGTGTGGTCTGAGAGTATGGTGTTTCAGGTGAATGTCGGTATTTCTAAACTTTTTATTCTAACTACAGTTTTCCTAGAGGTGTTTCGGTTATGACTACTAAAGTGAGTTTGATTTATACTCCAACAGATAAAATTGTGTATCTTATCTGAGTTACACAAGATCGTATTCGAAATATATATATATATATTTATACCGCCTTAGAAATGCGGTAAAAAGAGCATTCTCTGCTGCTGAATTACGCTGTGTTTTCAAAACCATCCCTATTTTGCGTTTGGGAGTAAAAGATAAACTGTCTAATTTCGCCTCTTCCATGTGTATCTACGAGTTTAACTGCTCCTATGGAGCCAGTTACATAGGCCGTACAATTAGGCGCGTTTATCGTCGGATTTCCCAACATCACCATGCTTAGTGGTTAAGTAAAGGACAAAAAAATCCATTCATAGCGCTATTCTATTTCATCTTGTTGATACAGAACACAAGATTGATGTTAAAGAGGCTTACAAAGTCATTTACCGCATACCAGCAAATCTTAACTTCACCTTAAGAGTTCGTCTACTACATATTGCTGAGACCGTTGGAGTTCACACTAAGAAACCTAACTTATGTATCCAAAAGAAGCTGGTTCAGACACTATCATTACCTTGGCCTTCAAGGTTCCGATGATCCTCAGTTCTGTTGTGGAAATTTCCTTATTTTATTTGATATTCTATTTGCTATTATATTTGTATGCTTATTGTGACTTATGCATTTTTAGTGAACTGTAATTCTATTGTTCTTACTTAACAAATCGATATTATTCAGAAAACACCAATTTTGTTATTGACGACTATTCTATATATATAAAATTGTAGGGCCAGAAGAGAAAACTATCGAAAAGGATATTCTTTGCTCAATTTTTTTGTTTTTTTCTGGATGTCTGAATGCATATTTTTGCCTTATTGACTTTTATTAAGATACAGTAGTAATTAAGACAACAACAAAAGTATGGTGATTTGCCAGTGCTGAAGGTAATGATAAAAGCAAACTGTTGCTAACATGATTACTACAGAAGACAATACATTTCCAAGGTACACTTTTTAAATTCGGAGAAAACTTCTCATAAACCAGATGTCTAAAAATTAATATTCATCCTTATTTCTACCTTGCTTTTACATATTTCTATACACTTTCTAGTAATATAACGACAGAAATGATTGCACTGCCGTTTTTCAGATGTTTAATCTAACCTGAAAATAAATCTATGAACCTTCATAATTTATTTATCTTATTTCATCATTTTTTATATAAAAAAGGGTTTCTTTCGAAGAACAATCAATGAGCGAGAAAGTCAACGTTATACATGTAGAAATGGAGGCAACTGTGCTGTTACCGGTGCTACAAGAAATAACTGCAAAAGTTGTAGATATCGTCGATGTTTAGCTGTGGGAATGTCAAAAGATGGTAAGAATGCATACAAATATAATTACTGAATAATTAATCATGTTATTGTTGTACATATTCATTATTCAACTATTTAATTAGTTTCAAGTTAGGCCACAGACTGACATCAGGTAGAGGACCATTGGAAACCAGGTGGGTCCCCCGGGTTGGCTGTGAGGACAAATACTCGTTAATGACATTGTATCGAGGTGGAGCTATAATAATAATAATAGTGATAACTGTAATAATAAGGCTTTATTTCAGACAATATGCACAGGAATTTTCAGGATACTTAGCTCCAGAATACTTTCTCTTCGTACAGGATTTACATGTATAGACATAGTGTTTGCATATGAAGAGAGAACCAATTCTGTACATTTTTCTTCATTTCCCTCGAGAACTGAGCAGCGTTCTGTTGAAAGCTAATTAAATATGTGTGCGAGTTTATGTAGTGATCATCTGATATAATTGCATAATTAAAACAATAATAAATGCTGAAGAGTTCAGGCATTTTGGTGGATGGAAACTTTGGTAGCCTAGTGATTTAAGCAGGTCACCGTAAAAGTTAAAATCCATGGGCTATTGGATTTCGTCCTAGTGACTGAATGGTAAACAGACTGGCCTGGAAACTTTCAAGGTCCTGGGTTCGATCCGTGGTGATGGTGAGGTCATGGGTGTATACTCATGAGGAGTCCCAAACTAGGACGAAACGGCTGTCCAGTACTACCTGATTTTCAGTGATCCTCTAACTGATGTCATTCCGTGATCTAACATGAAACTATATTTGTTATAATTCGTTAAATATTTTGCGCGAAATTTGAAAGATAAAACAAACTCTAAACTATGAATTGTACCTTTAGAAAAAAATATTTAGCACCTAAAACTTCAAAAAGGAAGTAAACATTTTGGAATTCTCCATTAATAAAGTAATCGTGTCTACTGATTCATGTGGAATTGTAAAATCTGAATTCGTTTTGAAGCTGTAGTGCTAAAGACTTTTTTCCAAAGGTAAAATGAATACCACACAACTAAGAGAAAAAACACAGAGAAGTCCAACTGCAAGAGTGCGGTAACGCCAGAAACATCCACCTCAGTTATGAATCTTTACTATTTCATAATCATTTTGCATTCATCCTTGGAATTTAAAATAACATTTCTTGATATGTATACTTGGTCTGTTGGTTACTCAACAAAACGAAACAACAAAATATCAAGTCACTCACACAATTTGATATGATTATGAGCAATAGTTTGTGCTCGAAACGTCATCGATAAATATTACTGTACAACACTGTGTGATTTATCAAAATAAAATCTTAGCTATAATGGAGTTATACTCTACCACAGTGCCCAAGTTTTATACTTATATCGAGAGTGTAAAGCCATATATATATATATATATTCGACAGTTTAAAGACCTTCCCTGAGTAGTTCATATGAAGTAGCCTGTAGACTTCTGAATATGTAATAACAGTCACTATCGACTTCATCCGTCAATCTACTAGTAAATCTTCCTAGTGTGGTAAGTGAATTTTGTAATCATATAAAGATTTCCATAAATACCTGAAATTATACTGATTTGTAACTGGGGTAGTGGCAGGAGGGTAACCTGATTTGTGTGTGTGTGTGTGTAGTCCTTAGTACAGGTGATGATTGAATTCTGTCAGTCAGGTTTTCAATGTGGTCGCCAATTTAAGAGACTGGCTTAGTGTAGATTGGGCTCCAACCACCTAACTTTAAATATCCAAAGTATATATGCGGTGAGAGCTGTCTGCTAGCCGAAATTGTAGACAACAATTTACGTCAATGTTTACGTACCGAATTGGGGTCATGAGAAAAAGCTTAACACTGATGAACTCACCAACCAATCACAGCAGACTTAACGTGTGCAAATACGATTCGCAGATATATGGCTTGACTTTCTAAGAAACGGCCACAATGAGATGTCAGAGTAACTTCCAGTGAGAAAACGACCAATCAGAAGACGCTGCTTCTCTGCTAACAGTAACGCTAATAATAATGTACATAAGAATCTATAAATATCTGTTGATTTTCTCAATAAACGATCTGTTGCCTGGCCCTTGTCTTCTATCGTGTGCACATGACCAAATGATGTAATATAGCGCAAAGAATTTAAAGACTGAAACATAACCTCCATGCGTCAGTATGTTCATTATATATCCTAAACTATTATTAATTCTCTGAAAATTTGTATTAACACACTACAGAAAAACTTGTGGAGAAAAGTAACGAAGACTAACTTGAGCAAATTTGAATATCCAGTCTACAGACATTAGTAGTTGCATATATTTTATAAAAACCTAATCTGTAATTTCTACATTTAAAATTATTATGTTATGAAAGAAAAATCTTTTTAATATGAAACATTTTTTTTGTAGGTAGATAAACTCTTCATCTTGTGTTAACCTTTACAATAATATTTTAGGCAGTCGTATTGGTCGTCAACCAAATGCTATAAAACATCGTTGTGCTGTTGAAATTGAACAAATTCGATCAGCCATATCTAATTCAGGCATACATTTAAAACAACATTCAATGTCCAATTGTTCAACAGTATCAAATTATAATTTTTTATCACCAACACCATCATTAAATAATTTATCACATCAATTAATTCAAACAGATCCATTGAACCAGTCACAATATGAATATAAGATTGATAATCACAGGGAAATAGTCAATTCAAGTCATAAGTATTGTTTAAATAAATCAATTCCGCCAATTTCTTCTCATGTCACACATTTAAATACATTTCCATACCAGCCAACAATAACATCAGAAATGAATATTAATCTATGCCATATGCAACAAGGCAATAAATCGTGTCAAATAATCGATGATATTAAAGAAATAACACCAACAACAATAAGCTCTGCGTCAAATCAAACAATATCTCATCCGTATAACAATATAAGTGAACAACAATTCTACGAAAATAAATATCAAACTGGTCAGAATAATGAAATATTCAATTCTACACCATTATCAACATTGTCTAGAGGTGCTACAAGTGATTGTGATGGGAAGATAACAGTAACCATCCAATCAGATGCTGTTACATGTTTAAATAAACAAAAAGAATTCAATGAATTAATTCATAATGATTATTCATCAATTGGTTTGATAAATTTATCCAGAGCAGCACAATTCTATAGTCAACACGAGAAAGACTTACAAATACAATATGAGAATAATTTAAAAACTCATTCTCCTATATATAAAGATAATTTAATAAAGTCAAAAAGAAATAACTCTGGTCCTGCTACTACGACTGGTACTATTAACAGCAACAACAACATTGATAGTAGTGACCATGTTAATGAATACAGAAAATCAATAAAAGATAAAGAGGATAATGAATATTTGCCTTATGAAAATATACAAGTGAAAAAAGAATTTAGTCAGTGGAATGATAATATAGCGATAACACCAACACCAACCAATGAGGCACAGTCACCAATTAAACAAACAATAAATTGGAATATTGAACAAGGTGAAGTGCTGAATTCAATGATTCAATCTAATTCAAAACAGATTATACCTAAATTGAAGGTAAATCCTAATTTAACAATAAATGAAGACAGTTATCTTCATGATTGTGATAAATTAAATGAAAATTTTACTTTAAAACAAATAAAAGTAGATGAAACAACAACAGCAACAAAAATATCATCATCAACATCATTGTTTATGGGAAATGATTCATCATCTAAACAAAATCATTCATCATTTCCTTCAACATTGAAATTAGACTGTTGTTTAAACTCTACTCAGTTGCATAATTTAAATTTAATAAATGAGAATAAACTTAACGGTTCAAAAACATATGGACAGTCTGATCCATTCCAATTCATAGAAATAGATAGTGCACAAATAATGCCTATAAATCATGTAAATAAATGTCTGGATTCATCAAATATTAATCGGTATAATCTTAATAGTAATAATAATGACAACACAGAAAGTGACAACTGTTCAGCTAATTTTTATCGAGAGTGTGGTGGAATGTGTCCTCTTCCTACAAACGAATTACTAGATAATACGAATAACCTAAATAATGGCAATAATATTAATTCAATAAATCGAGATCAATTTGACTCCTCATCATTAAACTATTTTAAATGCAAAAATTTTAATATACCACAGTCACTTATTTCCTCAGGTAGTCATTATCTTACCCAGTCGAAAGCATTTTTAGATCGATATACATCTTCTTCAATCAAGTCAAAACCAATAAATTCTGAACGGAATCATAATAGCCCTGACGCTGATGATAATCATCAACACATGCCAAAATTCCATCAATTTAATTTAGCTACTAATCAAAATATGAGTAGTATGAATGCATTTGTAGAAAATCTAAACCAGGCTAAATTAAATCAAGTCAACGGTGGGGTAATTGATAATAACAGTAATGATCAAATTATAAATAATAATAATAATAAACACAATAGGGAAATAATCATGTCAGATATATCATCCCAATGGACTGATGATACAAATTTGCACAAGAAGGTAATTATTTCAGATGAAAAAATCGGTGTTTTTTCCACTAAAATTATAAAAAAATAACGTTTTTTTGTAGATTGAACAGTCGGATATGTAAAACTATTCAAGTCAAAACATTATGGACACTTCGGCCTTATCATTAAGTAAAGTTAAGAATAAGAACAGATAAGTAGCGCAACACAGAAAGATTGTGAACAATTAAGAATTCATTCTTCCGGTTACAAGGCAAGCTCGTATACCATTCAGCCACTGGGACCCGATTCAATGGCTCATGAATTCTAACTTCTACCAATTCGTGATTTTAGCACGACCCCAACTATTGTCGTTGGTGGAAATCCATCCACACGTGACTTCTAATTGGACCTCACTGGTCACGACTTCTCACTAGAACTGCAGGAAGCTCCAACCTGTAGCAAGTCACTAGCGAGCATCAGAATAATTTTCTATAGTTTGGTTTGTAAGGAATAGTTATGTTTTAAGAGTTGATCACGGACTGATATCAGTTAGAGAACCATTGAAAACCAGGGAGTACTGGACAGCTGCTGTTGGTGGAAATCCATCCAACGACAATAGTTGGGGTCGCGCTAAAATCACGAATTGGTAGAAGTTAGAATTCATGAGCCATTGAATCGGGTCCCAGTGGCTGAATGGTATACGAGCCAGCTTGCCTTGTAACCGGAAGGTCCTGGGTTCGAACCCTGGCAGTGGGTGCGTACTGCCGATGATTCCCAAACTAGGATGAAACAGCAGCTGTCCAGTACTCCCTGGTTTTCAATGGTTCTCTAACTGATATCAGTCCGTGATCAACTCTTAAAACATAACTAATCCTTACAAACCAAACTATAGAAAATTCATTCTTACTAAATAAAATACTGGTTGGCTAACTTGGAAAGTAAAAGTTATAAAGAGTTTATTCAATGTTTCCCTCCACTGCACCAGAGAGCAGTTAGGTGCCTATCGGGTAGTAAACTCGGAAAAGAGATAAGGTTGAGCTTGAGGCCAGTCACTCCGTCCCATGGAACCACTACCACTGAAACTTCGAAGCTTGAAGTTTTTTGTCGTTAATGCATTTTAACGGTTGGATTTATTCCTATTCAGAACATTCGACAAGGTTTCAACTAGAGACAGGTGTCTACAGTCAGCGAGGTGTTCAATAATGTTTTTCATAAAAGAAGCAAGTCTATGTTTAGGAGAGTATAATACATACGGTTAATGAATACTTGTGAAGCTGTAGTTCCTAACCTTTGTTTTTTATATATATTCTGGAAACATACAACTATCGAAATTCGTTTTTACAGATAATAATATCTTTATTCTGGACAGTATTCATAAAATGTGCAGAATTTTCAGAGGAGTTTATTCCATGATATTTTCCCTTCGTACAATATCTTCAAGTAAAATATTAGTTGACAGTATATCCATTCCATTATTTTATATCTGCTTCGTCTCCTTCAAGAAATCTAGTTGGAAGCCAATTGTAAGATGTTCAGAAGTACATTTTGAGACCCAAGGACATAACTGAAGAACAGTTATCTCGTGTATTGGATAGAACACGTTGTCACCCACAATCAGACCTTTCCTCAAGTTTAGTAGGAACTTACGAAACAGAAGCTTGTAAACATATTAGTAAATACACACAAGATTAGATAATACCATTAGAGGTCATATCTTAATCGGTTAAAACAAACCGAAGAAGAGAAAATATATGCAATAGAGAGATGGAAGTTTTCGGTAGCCCAAGTTTTAAACGGCCCCATAACCATCTTCCCTCCAGTTATCTTCTTACTTTGTATATGAAAATAATACACTGTGAAAAAACTCTTCTTGAAAAAGTTCTATCATTTCTTTTTCTTATTCTTTTTAGCGAGCAAATACTTCTAAAAATTTAAAAGTGCACATGACAAATAAAACAATGTCAACTGATGATCCAATTGAGTCGTCAATACTACCATCGTCAAACGTCATAACCCAAGAGACTGCTAACTGTCATTCCTATTCAAATCATAAAGATGCATATACATTTGATATAGAAATTGATACAGTGAAGAATCCTGCAAGGAAGTGTAGACAAGCAAGTGATAGTAGTAGTAGTAGCAACAACAGCAGCAGTATCCTTGAATCACCAATAATTATCACTGATAATCAATTAAACACTTATGAAGACAATAACAGGATTAATAATAGTAATAATAATATAGAAGTATCTGATGGCATACACCCTGAATCAATCAGTCCATGCAATAAACAAACTGATCAAAGCCAACACCCACGATTATTAAGTCTACTAGAGAAAAGCGATTTAGACATAGAATTAATGGAACAATTGAAATCAACAAGTCATGCTGTGTCCAGTAGAGGTTTGCAGACATGCTTAGAAGAATTTCCAATATCAAATATAAATTCAACAAAGCTATGCTATTCATCATATGAATCACCGAATACATTTTATAGTATTATTTGTAACAATGAATATAATACAGCTATGAATAGTGTTGCTGGTAATAATATGAATACTACAAATGTAAATAAAACTCTACCCTTTTCATCATCGTCACAGTTGATTCCAACAGTTAAAGATACTTTCAATACATCAACTTATCTTAATTTCTGCATGGATAATAATAAATACACTATTGATGATAATGATAACACAATCAACAAATCATCTTCTGATTTATATTTTGGACAAAATTTATTTGACAATCAAAATTCACAATTTCATATTCAATGTCCAACTGATATTTCAAATGAATGGCACAATGGCACTGTTCATTATTTAACGGGATCGAATAATAATAATAACAATAATAATAGTCGATTTATACAAAGTAATAAATTCCTACAGTATATTAAAGATGCTGCTAATCAACTGCTTCATTGTAGATGCAGAGTAAGCTTTAATTTAAAACTGTTTTAGTTCTTCTCTAAAATAGGATATCATTCTTCGTCTTAATATTATTTTCAAGTATTGGTTTTGTAGGGATTTTGTTCGATTGCATGGAGGATTTCATCATGAGCTGACATCAGTTAGAGAACCACTGTAAAACCTGAGAGTACTGGACAGCTGTTTCGTCCGTTGGATCGGGTCCCAGTGGCTCAATGGTCTACGAGCTCGCCTTGTAACCAGAAGGTCGTGGGTTCGAATCCCGGTGGGTGCGCACTGCTGAAGAGCCCGAAACTAGGACGAGACAGCTGTCCAGTACTCCCAGGTTTTACAGTGGTTCTCTAACTGATGTCAGTTCATGATGAAATCCTCCATGCAATTAAAATTATTTATCTCTTGAGCTGCGACTGGAAAATACGGCCTTTCAGCTGCACATTTCCGTTGTACTCCCCTCTTTCTGCCATCACTTTCAAATGGCTTCATGATTCCCCATAAGCTCTCACTTCCCCCCTTCACGTGGTCTCCTCCATGTCATCTTCAGACTCACGGTCAACCTTTCTGTTCTCATTAGAGTTCCACTCGACGATATACCTGACGTGTGATGTCACTTGACTATCCATCTCTGTTTCCTTCTGAATATTTGTCGGGCAATAGGTTCTTGGCTGATTTTTTGTGTCTGCCAGAGTTCCTTGTTGCTACCGTAACTTCAGAGCACAGAAAAAGAATAGTATACTACTAACGATTTATTAAGTAGTACAATAAGTAAAGAAATTTCTAGACGGTGGGTGGAATACACTTGATTCTGTAATATATGTACATAAACTCAAAAGTCGTCATAAAATATGTGGTTTATATGTGGGTGCGTACTGATGAAGAGTCCCAAACTGGAGCGAAACGGTTGTCCAGTACTCCCTGAATGTTTTCCAATGGTTTCCTAACTGATGTCAGCTCATGATGAAATCCTCCAAACAATCAAAAAAAAATCCCTACATAAACAAATATTTGTATGTGGTTAAAAATAAATAAGAGCCTAACAGCAAACACAAGGAAAGAAAGACAGTGTATTATAAATAAAAATGGTTTTTCGCGAAAATAAACTAAATGAATGTTTTGCAATGTAGCTGTTGAAATAAAAGTTATCATTACTGCCATCTCAGACAAATTGGATAGTTGTTTCGTCCTGGTGTGGGACTGGTCATCAGTACTTTCATAACCCCGCCTAAAGCGTTCAAACCTCTTGGAGAGCAAGTTAGAACTGTGCCAATAAGTCGGAATCTAATGGTTTGTGATCTGACAGACCACTATTTATTGCTATCACCATTCAACATAATCTATGAGTAAATGTCTTGATAACCAACCTGGTGAATTCTTATGGTTACGGCTTCCTATGTAAAATTTTGTGGATAAGAAATGAGCTGATATTAATTCACCGATGACACTGAATGCCAGAGTTACTTTATTTCCAGTAAGCCGAATTTAGAAATCATTGGATTATTCTCGCACATCATTTGCCTTAGAGTTAAAGATACGTCTTGATGACATGTACCAATCAAACAGGGGACCTAGTTCTAAACCTTCCTATCGACTATTTCCAGATACGTAACAAACACTTATTAATTTTGTCAATGATTCACTGTTCTAATTTATTAGTTGGAACTAAAGGTAGAAGTCACCTCTTTCACTTTTCCGACCTAAGCAGCATCGTTTCAAGTATAGGCAGGACAGATTAGGATGTCAAAGACATTCAGGATCGAGAAAGCAACACAGGTGCTCATTACTCTGAAATATGTGTGGAAATCTGCCGAACTCAATAAGAAACAAGATGAGAATTTTCAGCATTAATGTGAAATCGATTGACGTGCGCGTCACCAAAAACATTTCCAGCATCCTGTTACAGACTTCCACCTGGTTTATTTTGTAGTGAAGATCATATGGTAGGTTAGAAAGGATGAGCAGCGAGGAACTGTGAAAGTTAGTGAATCAACCAAGAGTATACTGCCCAACAAATATGCAGAAGTGAATGGAAATGGATTGGATGTACGCCTAGAAAACCGTTGAGTGACATCATGAGCCAGGCCCTTGAGTGGAACCCAAATGAGAAGTGACGAGTTAAGAAAGCTTAAGGTTAGTCGTGAAGCCAGCTGAAAGTGATGGTGGATTGCTGAATGGAATGACCATGTGCTGCCGAAGTCTTATGCACCACTTACAACCCAAGGAAATAATAGGAGGAGGTTATTGTTAGCATTTAATCATTTAAAGACGACCATTGTCATGAAAATATATATGCACCTAGTAAAGAGTATTATTATTTATTTTATTCATCTCGGTTCCCAGCGGAACATAGGGCTTCAAGCCTGAGTTTTGAAGTTTCAGTAGCAGTGGTGTCTATTTCTACTGGGTAGGGTTACTAGTCCCACGCCCAGACTTCCCTTTTTGCCAGGCTTACTATCCACTAAGCGAGGTTCAGGAGTGCGTCGGACGAGGGTCGAACCCTGAACCACAGGCATGGTTGGAGAGCATTCTACCTTCGAACCACTGACGCAATCAACATAATATTACCATGTAGTTACAGTTTAGTTAAGTCGGTATATACAAAGTGTATTCTGAACAAATTGAGTTCTGTTAACTATAATTATTAGCTGAAGGCTAATTTATACTGTGGTGAGAGCTGTCTGCTAACCGAAATTGGTCTGTCTGTCTGTTTTCGACATAGAACTTTGCACATATGTGCGGCAGTCTAAGTCGCCACACTCCATGTAGCACACAAAGCAAGAGAAGAAAGTAGGAGAAATGCATATTAGAGACAGTAAACAGAGGTGTGAGACAATGCAATAGTAATAACGAAGAACAAAACAGCTTCATTGGAAATCATAAGTTACAAGGAGTGGATGCATCTGCACCAGCCATTGAGAACGATTTTGAGCCATGTCACCAATTGTTTCCAACCATTGGTTTTTACCGTCCCGAGGACCCCAGCCAGGAAGTCTACACCTTCCTACGTGGCTAAGACTAACTGTTGTAGATTTCATTGACTGGTGCCAAAATTGGTAGACAGCCATTTACGTCAATGTTTGCGTCCCAAATCTTGGTCATGAGAAAAAAACAAGAACAAAGACTTTGAGTGGGCGGATACGATTCGCAGATATATGGTGTGACCTTCAGGGAAACGGTCACAAAGAGATGACAGATTAACTTTCAGGGAGAAAACAACCAATCAGAAGACTCTGTTTCTCTGCTAACAATAACCTATAATAATGTACATAAAAATCTATGAATAATCTGTTGCCTGACCCCTGTCTTCTGTCGTTACAATACTATCCAATCAGCAAAAGACTGCAGGAAGTCTAACAGGACTAGAAATTAGGACAAGCTGGTTAAAAGCCATTGAGCCAAATCTATGCAAAATTACCCCCGCATGAGAATTGCTGTACAATAAATACTTTATTATATTACTGTTGAAAGGTTGATTTCAGTAGTGATATTTTGAATTCATATACAGCTTTGTTTATGTATATTTTTCTTGTCGATTTCTTTCCCATTCTATTAATAGATATCACAAAATTTCAACTTGACAACGCATGAAACTAAACAAAGCGTTGACATTCTATGGTTAAATATGATGAAATATTTTGAAAATCATATTTATGAAATTATACAATTTGCCCAATCAATTCCATGTTTTCGTCAGCTATCTGAATTCGATATGAAAGTGTTACTACAACAAAGCATTTATCCAATTATATTAATTCAATTATCTCAGGATTTTAATATTAAAACAAAAGAATATACTTATTTTGCCCTTAATAATAACAATAATAGTAATAATGAAACAAATTTCAGTCAATTGTCAATATTAAAAATTTTAATTGAACAAATTCATTTAACAGAAAAACTTCTGGAACCATTAGAATTAAATGAAACAGAAATCGGTTTATTGTGTTGTATGGAATTATTTCAAGCAGGTAAGATGATATTCAATTCTCACTATGTATCTTTTCCGATGACATCAGCGCTGGTAATCTCGCTAGAATCACGAATTGGTAGAAGATAAAACTAATGGGTCATTGAATCGGATCCTCGTAGCTGAATGGTCTACGAGCTTTCGCTGCGAGAAGAAGGTCCTGCTTTAGAACTCTGGTGGGTGTCTACTGATGAAGAGTCCTTTACTTTCCCAGTGGAACATAGGACTTCAAGCTACAGACTTGGAGTTTCGGTAGCAGTGATGTTTATTTTTACGGGATAGGGTTGCTAGCCTCATGCTCAACCTTCCCTCGTTACCAGTCTTATTACTGCCTTAGCGAGGTATAGGAGTGCGTCGGCCGGGGATCGAACCCCGGACCACCCTCGTGGTCGGCGAGCGCTCTACCTCTGTGCCCCCGACGCACACTGTTATCCAGTACTCCATGATTTTCAAGGGTTCTTTCCTACTGTCTGAGGTTATAGTAATCTGTGCATATCAAAAAACACCACTAATCACAAAACTGCTGAAAACTCAGCAATGAACTCGTGTGTCAAGTAACTTAGCTTAACAGGTTACGATTTGTCTATTGTGCAAGTAGCTACTGGTCTCTCGCAAACTGTAAGAAGTTCGAAGTAAGTGGAATTGAACCCCTAGATGTCAATTATGAGAACCAAGATTCCTAGGATTTATTCTGAGTGAGATTGTCGGTACATAGTCACTAATCACTACTAAAACCAGAAAGAAGTACTTCTCTGGTGGTTGTTTGTTTTCAGTGAACTTTTTAAAGCCGAAACTGATTTACAATGTAAAGTACTATGAAATCTATCCACTCCCTACAGATCTTTTAACTAACTTTTCTAATCAATAAATGCGCTAAAAACTATGATATATAAACGGTTACATTTTGTCACCATTAGGATCTAGAAAGACATATAAGATAAGCATAGAGAATTCGTGCAGATCATTTCATTTTTTCTACTGTAGACTATTTCTGAAATGCTTTCACCAGGTGTGTATAATCGCCTGTATAGTTATTACTCTTAGCTTGTAACACCATAACTGTTCTCAGTATTCAGATAATGAGTTCTGTAGGGATTTGTATTAGTTTCAGTGTAGAATGACTGAAAATCAGAGAGGAGTGAACAGCACTTCTGTCCTAACTTGGAACTCTTCAGCGGTGATCACCCACTACCCCACTAGGGTTCGATACTGAGACTTCCAGGTTACGAGGTTAGGTTATTGACTGGGTTGGAATTCAGTGACCTGTGGATTTTAACTTTTGTCAGTCCGTGATATAGATCTACCGCCGACCAGTGCCATCGATGAGCTTTCGCTTCATCCTGATAGGAGTGGACATCACTGGCCGCAGCTTTGCATTTTACCTTCAGCAGCCACTAATGAGTTAGAGACTGATATTCAGATTATGGTTGTCCATCGACAGCAGTGGTTGACGGTAGCTCTATATCATCAATTGAGAGAGATTAGAATTCACGGATCACTGAAATCCGGGTCAGAAGCTGAATGGTCGGTGAGGTAGTCTCGCGACCTAAACGTCGCGGGTTCTATCGCAGGTGGGGTCGTGGGTGCCCACTGCAGAAGAGTCCCAAGCTAGGACGGAACAGCTGTCTATTGCCCCCCAGTTTTTCAATGATTCTTTAACTGATGTCAGTTCATGGAGAAATCTACAAAGAAATACTCAAGTATATCTAAGCATAGTACACTGTTTACACCCCAGTAATCAATCAATACAACCATTACAGTCCTTGGATAGCTTAGTGATAACATTTCTGACTACACCACAAGTTTGAATCTCCGGGAAGGGGGCACCAGTTCCATGAAGATTCGCGGACACGCCAAGCTGAGGAGTGCCAAAAAGCACGAAATCTAAGTCAAGGACTTCATACTGATTTCCTCCAACTACCTTACAGATATTAGGTTATACCAGATATAGTAAAGAAAAAACCTGTCGGACAGATGGGAGAAAACTTTTTCTCTGGATTTTTTTCGATATATTTGCACAAAAAATTCAAAATTCATCTGTCACGTCTATTTTGAGGTTGAACAAAACTGTTTATTGCATATATTAGAGAAATATAGATAGTATAAAAGAATACAATTTTTCAAGCAATAGCCTTTCTCACCCTTTGAAGATGTCGTCATTTGTAATTCAGTGCTGGATACTAGGAGTCAGTCGGGGAAGAGAACTCAACCTAGATTTCATACTGATTACCACTCATCAGAAGGGTAATATTATCAGTTTTGAAGAAACATATTTTCTCGCCTCCCCCCTCCCCCTTAATATTACCCAATAATATTAAACTGGTATTTTCTGTATGTTTCTTTTTATATGATTATTTAAAAGAAATGATATTTTTAACTCACAGATGGAAGATTGTTAAATGAACCGTCAAAGGTGGATGAAGCCTATCAAGAAGTACTTCATGTATTCAAAGAATATGAAACAAGTAAAGAAAAATATTAATATCTTTCATTAGTGTTATTATTATTAGTATTATTATTACTACCACTACTACTATTATCAGTGTTATATGTTAGAAGCAGGGAAATCATACCGTGTTTAGATTCTAAATTCATAATTCTTACTTTCTCTATACTAAGCTTTGATAAAAAAATAATCATATATAAAAAGCAATTTAATTGTCTGGATCAGCATTCACTTTATGTGATGCACGTGGAACGCACTTCGCGTTCAGTATCAATCAAGTATAGCTGAAAGTGAGGTACTTGAACCAATAAGCTACACATTTAATGCAGTCATTAAATGAGACTGTCAGTTCACTACAAGCCTTAAATGATTTGACTTATCCGACCTTACCAAACTCACGTTATACAGGCACTTAGTTTGTCCACTAAGCAGTTTAATTACATCTATCATATTTGTACTGATCATAATATCTACCCAGATGGTTGCTTAGATTTCATTAAGCAGGTTGAAGCAAGAATCACTAATTCACTGATTGAAAGTCCAGTATTATTATTATCATCATATATGCTATTAGTCATTCTTTGGGTTTCTGAACCAAAGAGATCCTGCCTGGCTTTAAAATCCTCATCTGTGTCACTGCCTATAGTTGGTAGAATGCTGGCGAGGTAAGTGACAGGGATGACTTACTTTGAATTTCTCTTGTTGATGATGGTTGGATATCTTCATCACCTCTGTCTTCTCTATGTTCACCTGAATTTCAATCTTGGCTGTCTCTTATTGGTTTCCGCCTGTAGGTCTTCGTATTTTTGAGACACGAGGCATAAATTATCCGCGAAGTCCAAATATTCTAGTTCATTCACTGTGTGTGTATATTTCAAATTAGCTATGGATAACAATCAATAATCTTCTATTTGAGGTCAGACTTTAATCAAAGAAACTTAAGAACTAGGGTGAAGTAACCCATTTTAACAATTCCCATCATCAATAAAATCAATTAAAATGTTATTAAACAACCAATGCACCTTCATGCATTTGGCAATGAGTCTGGCTAAATAAATGACAGCTAATGACACTACTCGGCTGCCAAAGCCTCGATAGATGGAGCAGGGTTCGAACTGATCACCCTAATGGTAAGAAGTCGAGTTGTCTAGACCACTGGGCCACAGTTCCACCCTAAAATCAATAAAGTAGTAGGAGAAGAATTAAGATTTATTTTTTATTAAATAATAATAATCATAATATTAACTTTTACTTTTCACTAGTTTCTCTATTTTTTATCTTCTTTCTTCTCTTTCCTGTCTTTCTGTTTTCTTGTCACAAAATTTCTCTAGATCAATACAGTACAGATATACGCTTCTATAAAATTTTGGCTATTCTAACAAATTTAGATAAAATGAATAAGGAACACCAAAATGTGTTGAGAATACTTAAAAAAGAAAATAATCCCATACCATTTCCTGATTTATATGTTCAAATTCTTCAGCTGGATGAATCAGAATCACTTATCGATAATGGACTACTACTATTACTGCTAATGATGATGATTATCATTATGGCAAAAAATCAATATGAGAGACTCTGCATTCATTACAATGAATGAATAAACTGATAGTTGAATAATACTGCTAATAATAATTTAAAAAAGATAACTTAAAACATTGTGCAATTTATCCCCATTCCCTTTACCCTTAAATAAACTCAGGTTTTTGAGTAATTTACTCCTTGATAGCACCATGTACTTACTACCTTACTTGTGAGCGTGTGCATGCAGGTGGACGGATGGACGTAATGTTTTGAAAAGACCAGTAAAAAAAACAAACAAACAACAAAAACCCGGTGTGGTATATTTGTTAGAAAATGGCAGCTTATTACTGATAAAGTGTAAACATGTTGTGTGTTGAGACAAAGCAGTTTGACTTCAACAAAAAAAAACGACGATAACTTTATGTTTATTGTTTCCCTTGAATTCCCCTGTCCCCTCCCCAAACCCCCAATTTTGTTTTCTAAAAGAAAAATATCGATGGATCAGGAGACCAGTAGCAGATTTCGAAGTACGCGTAAGCGTACGTGTACACGTGCTCACACTGTGACAAAAAAGAATCCATAACTTAGCCAATTATCAATGTATTTCAAGGTTTTTTGTTTGTTTAAATCTCTTCATCTTTTTTTCGCCTTTCGTACGTATTGTTTAAATTTTTTCCCTCCTGGGTTTATATTAATTACTGTTGTTATTATTATTATCATCAAATATTTATCTGACTGGTTTTATTCCCCCCTTCTATCTGTTAAATTATCGTATAAATCTCTGTCTCTCTTTTCTTTTTCAATCTTGAAACAAATTATCTGTATCAGGGAATTTATTTATTAAATAAATATTGCAAAATAAATAAAAAAAAGCATTTTCATTACCAGTGTATTTGAGTTTGTTTTAGACATATATCTGAACACTAATTCTAAGTAGAAATACAATAAAATGAGGCATAAATTAACAATATGAATAACACTGATTAGGTATTAACGACTAGATAAGTTGATATCGTCTATCGTCCTCCACTTCTACAGGAAGGTAGTAAGATGTGATAAAATGTGGTGAGAGCTGGTTGCAAACTCAACAATTTACGTCTGTGTTACGTCCGGAATCAGGATCATGAGAAAAACGATAACAAAGCATAACCTTGAGGAACTCATCGACCAATCACAGCGGAGTTAACGAGTGCAAATGGGATTCGCAGATATGTGGCTTAACTCTCTGAGAAACGGTCACAATAAGTACAGAATAACATTCAGCAGGCAAACAACCAATCAGAAGACGTTGCTTCTCCGCTGACAATAATGTAAGTAAAAATCTATAAATATCTGTTGATTTTCTCAACAAACAACCTGTTGTCTTCTGTCGTTACAATATGAATAACCTACGGGTAGTTACTTTCTAATCCAATACTGAGAGTAATGGTAGTTGGATTATTTTAGGGAAGTAGGCAAGTTTTATCTTGATAAATGTCCGTAGGTATGAAGTTAAACACAACTGTCAGACTTCTAACATGCAGTAATGGAATATCATTTTACAATTATGTAAGATTAACATCATTTCGAGGACCATCGACAACCAGGGAGTACTGGACAGGTGTTTCGTCTTAGTTTAGGACAATGAAGTTAATCGGTGATCGAAGCTGAAGCAAATAAAATACCTACAAACTAACACTTGAAAATTAATCTGGGACTCACTAGTTGCTGACTACATGTTGAAGTTACTTGGAGTTTTAGTAGGAAGTCGTGAGGTCCACCATGTCAAATGCTCGCCGACGAGATTGGATGGTAGACTGACAGAAGTAAGAATTTACGGGCCTTTAGATTCCATCCCAGCGACTGAATGACCAACGGGTTCGCCTTGTAACTTGAAGGTCTTGGGGTCGATCCTCGCTGGAGTGATGGGTACGTACTACTGAAGAGCCCCAAAGTAGGACGAAGCAGCTGTTCAGTGCTTCCTGGTTTTTTCAATGCTTCTCTAGTTGATATCGATCCGTGGTCTAACTTGAGAATAACTGAGTACTTGCAAATCGACGCTGGAAATTATTTAGGGGGAACCGTAACACTAGAAAATACTATATTAGTGACACTAAAGCCATTCTATAAAATCAATATTTAATGGCTATTATCGTATTGTGAATGATTCAAAAGTGAGGTGTTTATCATCTGCTTCGACAATATCCCCAAAGTATTCCGCTTTTGATCACTTCAACCTACTTTTTGTTCAAAACCGAATTCTTGTAATTTATTACATTTAATGTAATATTAGATACGTCTATACATGTATAAATGGTGGAGCCTATTATTGATTGATTTCTGAAATATAAAACTGAAATTCTAGTGTTGTCATTTAATGATCACACTGTTCACCTCATTGGTAGATTAGCGATTTCTCCCAGTAAACAATTTCAATATAAAATTCATTCTATTACAAAGAACAAACTACACGCATTTCATGATAATATTCAGTTTGTAGGACAAATTGAAACTATTCAGGTAGTGTATTTCATCGGCGGAAATTCATTTTTTTTCACACTGAACGATAATTAAAATCATTTTTATTCAAGTGTTGGTTTGTAGGGATTTGATTGGTTACAGGATTTCATCATGAGCTGACATTGGTTAGAGAACCACTGGAAAACCTGCAGGAAGTACTGGACAGCTGTTTTATTTCAGTTTGAGACTCTTCATCAGTACGCACCCACCGAGGTTCGAACCCAAGACCTTCTGGTTACAAGGCGAGCTCGTATACGATTAAGCCACTGGGACCCGATCCAATGGCCCATGAATTCTAACTTCTGCCAATTCACGAGATGGCGCGCCCCTAGCCATTGTCTTCGGCGAGCATTTGTCCACACACCCGACCTGTCCAGTACTTCAAGGTTTTCCAATGATTCTCTAACTAATGTCAGCTTGTAGTGACCCATTTTATTACTCATCATCGTACTATACTTTCATTGTGTAATTGTACTTCGATTTGTTTATTACTCTAAATCTTGCGTGTTAACAATTGATACAGTTGTACTCGCTCAAGTTTTGAATTTTGATTACGGCGAGAATATACATTCCTACACCTTCTCAAGTGTCTTCTGATTTACGTTGTGTGTGTCGAGTAAGCACAACGTTAGGACACAGTTATAAACGAGAAGAAGTATTAGGATATACGTATACGCTAGTTTAATCAAAATATAGCAGAACAACAAGCTTATGATAAAATCCTGTAAAATCATTTTCTCTAATCACGTAGGACTGGTTTGTTTTTGTAGTTTACATTTAAACATCAACAGGACGATAAAAATATTAGGAGTAAAAAATGCACGGCACCATATACTACTGATTGCCTGATATGAGTAGTTGGATACCATTCACATCAACCAGTAGTGCTTACTGGCCAAATCCAGACACTGGACGGAGGTCTCGCTCGTTTGGGGTCGAGCTCACCAGCGGTGTGCCTAGTCCGACTCCGTTCAGAGTACCTAATTTCGGGCTACCTACCACTATGCACTGATACTTGTTTTCTTGATTTAGCATTTATGGAATCAAGCAGATCGCATATTGTGATCATGAATCACAAATTATTCGAAAATTGCGAATCTGATTTGGATATTTAATGTCAATGGTAAGATTGACTAATTTCATGTATTACAATCTAAGCATTTTTACAGTAACTATCTAACTACTTTTCTTCCAGCTAACCACGATAAAATCAGAAGTAGCGTATGTATAAGGACTAAACACATACTTATCAAACATACGGATAACCTATAACTCATTGGAATACAGGAACATGCAGATGACGAACCCCTTATAGAAGTGGAACACGAGTTCTGAAGTTCCACTGCTAGCCAACACCGAACAAATGAACTTCACAAAAGATTTGACCGGTCAGAGGTACAACCTAACCATGTAGATTTAATAAACTGGTGTTTGTCATCTAGTAGTTTGATAAAAATAATACACTTATGTTGCATATAATCAGAGTCCGTCGGAAAAGCGATAGGATTTCGTTAGAAATCCTTTCTAGCTTACTGTTGCCCTAATGAGTTATAAGCTAATATTTGGTTACAAGATTTCATCATGAGCTGACATCGGTTAGAGAAGCATTGGAAAACCACCTGGGTGTACTGGACAGCTATTTCGTCCTAGTTTGGGACTCTTCAGCAGCATGCACCAACCACCACAGTTCAAAACCAGGGCATTCCAGTTACAAGGCGAGCTCACAGACCATTAAGCTACTGGGACCCCATGCAGTGGCCAGTCCATGAATTCCAGCTTCTGCCAATTCACGACATAGCGCGACCATTAGCCAATGCCTTCGGTGAGTATATTTCCTCACACCCAACCTGCCGTACCCTACTGGTCACGACTTCCCACTAGAACCCCAGGTAACTGCCTACCTGAATAGGGACAGTTGATAGTGAGCATCCTGTAACTAATCAATCAAATCCCTACAAAACAATACTTGAAAACCTAATATTTGTTACTTATTTATTTATTAATATTCACATGAAATGTTAAATCTCTACGAATAATGCTGTTTCCCTGAGAGCAAAGGTGGATTGAGAGGGCCTCTAAATGAATTTTCCCTGGTTGTTTGATTGAAGTGTTTAAAGGAATTTTAAGTGCGATGCTGAAGACAAGCTACCACCAGGAATAAAATCCAATCCGAAATTAGCATATGCTTTGCTAATTCCAAAGACATTTCAGTAGTAATTAAGATCACATACACCTTCTTCTCGCGTGTCTTATTCACTGGCTTTTAGAATTGATACAAACTGTCATTATATCTACGTTAGACATTATCCTGTAAACTACTTATAAGTAGTACACATCACAGTGTTGTCGTCTTGCTATCTTCTGAGTTTGCCGAATTTCTGTAGAAGTAGTGATTAAATAATGTTCAATATAGGCTTGATCGAGAAAAAAGTACTTTGAAAAAGTGAAGAGTAAGCTATGTTCTTGATCTATAAACCATTGAGATATCGTGTCATCCATAACTACTAGCTAATAATTTCTAAAACTTGAAACTGCTCCCACACATCTTCATTTCCACCAACCCACAAACAACTAATGTATTTATATCCAAAAGGTTGTTTGATTTACTTGGCGCTTGCTTAGGTGGGACGAATCACGTGACCCAGTTTCGTAAGTTTGTTTTTAGCTGTTTGCTTCCCGAATGGAGCATAGAGCTTCAAGCCTTGAAATTTTAATAGCAGTGTTGTCTTTTAAAGGGGTAGGGTTGCTAGTCTCATGCTCAGCCAGCCTTCCCTCTTCTCTGGGCTTGCTAGTGAAGTAGGCAAGGCTTGCGAGTGAGTCAGACAGAAATCAAACAAAGACCTCTAGCGTGGTGGTTGGTAACGTAACGTAACTTCATAAGTATACGCCTATCAATTTACTTTAGTATAAAAATGTGTGGTGATCCCCGATAATGACATGAGGATGACTGTACTGAAATACAAGAATGATTTAAATATGCTTGTGATCTGCAGTCTTGATCTTTCTGATTCCTAGAAAACAGAAATATACATTTGGTGGATGTTTGAGACAAACTCGTATGGAAAGATAAGATTAATGTAACCATCACTAAAGTTCGAAGGAGTCATCAGAGGAATTTGAGCTAGCGACCCGGTCAACAATCCAAAAAATCACTGATTTACTCTGAAGTTCACCTCAATTACTGACGGTTTCGTTCCCAGTTATCGTGTAAATAACTAATGGGAAAGTATCGATTAATTGTAGCACTGCAATAGAGATTTTCGTTTCGGATTCAGTGAACCTATTGATAAAGAAACAATATAAGTCAAGGCGAAATTGCAAACCAGTTCATCTTGTCAAGTTTCACTTACTAAATGTATATTTTGTCTTCAACAATACACACTATAGATAAATAGACGGAATCGTCATATACTCACTATTAGACCCTATTCTAAGAAACTTCTTTTCTGGCGAAACTTGAAAATGGATCAATGAAAGATGTTGTCAGTGAATTGGGTATGTATTACAGTTAAGTCAATGAACACTTATCAACAATTATAATAAACCTGAAGAGCATAAGAACACACAACACTTTCTTGACGTTCTACGAATTAGACGAGAATACACTCACGTGGAATAAATGGAAGGAACCTGAAAAAACCTCTTTTACCTACCTGGGAAGCATCGTTTCAACTACAGGCGGAACTGACGAGGATATCAAAGCAAGAATCGGAAAAGCAAGACAAGCTTTCAATACTCTCAAGTCTGTGTGGAGATCAACAGCACTCAGCATCAAAAATAAGATCCGGATTTTCAACTCCAATGTGAAGTCAGTGCTACTATATGGATCAGAAACTTGGCCAGCGCGTCATAAAGACCATCTCAAACAAACTACAGACCTTCATTAACAGTTGTCTTCGCTCAATACTCAAGATCAGATGGCCAGCCAGAAAAGATCAGCAACAGAGATCTCTGGCAATGAGCGAACCAACACAGCAGGAACCGATTGTGAAACAAATAGGCAGGAAGAAATGGAGATGGATTGGCCATACTCTCAGGAGACCATCAAGTGACATTACTTAGACAAGCCATCGCTTGAGTGGGACCCGAAAGGGAAGCGGCGAGTTGGTCGTCAGTGCAAGGATGACTTGGAGGAGGTCATGTGAAGAGTAGATGAAAACGTGTGGGCAGACACGGAGCCAGGTGAAGACTCTAGCAGAGAACCGAACGCAATGGAGACGCACGGCTGAAGCCCTATGTTCCTCTAGGAATTAAAGGAAACAATAATAATAACACTCATGTGGGAACACATACACATCCTTAACTATATACCTGTTGAACATTAGAAGAAAACTTAAATGTTTTACAAGCAGAGCAAAAACCAGTTATTTGGAAGATTATTTACAAGAGGAGTTTGAATATATTCATAATTTCTTCGTAGACATGGGAAGGCCTATGTGGTTTCATACAGAAACCTATAAAGAAATTAGCTACAACTTCATGAAAGGATGACAGTGCTTAAGAAACTATTATTTATTAGGTTGCAAGTTAATGGTGAAATTTTGTTAGAGAATGACAAGAACTATTCGTAGGATATTTTATACAGCAATCCTTTGTCTACTATTTTCTAGTTGGCAAGTGGTTATGACTCAAACTAGGTAGTTTTTGCCACGTCACTGTGTATTTATCAAAGCAACTGTTGCTGTGAAGATAGTGTTATCTCGGGTGTACAAGTAGACAGCTTAACCAAACCAACGTGTCACACAGCATTTTCCATTGCAGCTAGGTAAAGGACAGGCAAAAAATATCCAAAACTCAATTCTGATTGATAACTGCCACTTTGTGAACTAAATGAAGGTATTCAAGGTGAATCATTGCATTCTGTTAATGATCTTTGTATTTGCCTACTGCACATAGCTGAGGCTGTCAGCTTTTGATCTCATCTTAAACTACATGTTCTTACAGTTATTATATCTCTCTAGGCCAGAGTAGACCTAATTACAATTTCTTATACAGTTCTAATCCTCATTTTACCATATTTTGCCAACTCTTATTACATTTTTCACTAGCGCACGGTTTGTTTACTTCCCTCACAGTTAAGTACTACATAGTCTTGTTATTCGTCTCCTAAACCCTCAACTACTACGTCTGTTTAAATGTATACGTGCATAACCACTGGTATTATAACACATCCCCCTAACATTTATCATTCTTATCAATAGTATTATTATGACTAATTTATAGTCATCTTATCATCCAAATTGACAAATCACCATTAATGGTTGGTACATGATAGTTACTTGTACAGTCATATGTGTTAGAATAGGGTAGGGTCTGCAGAGATTTAACCGAATTTTAACTTTGTCAACTCCCTACAAAATCCCATAATTTAAATACCAATCTCCAGCTCATTAATGGACTACTGGGTGGATTTTCTAGGGCTGTAGTGGAAAGTCGTGACCTCTGGGCTTCACCATGTCAAAGTGAAGTGAATGCTCATCTAAGGCATTGTGGTGAGGGCACCACTATGTCACGAATTGACAAAGTTAGGACTCAGGGGTCATTGAGTTTCGGCTCAAATGGTTGAACGGTCGACTAGTTTGGTCTCGTCACCTGAAGGTCCCGGGTTCGTTCCCTGGAGGGGTTATACGTAGGGAGTGCGTGAGGCAGTCCCAAAATAGGACGAAATAGCTGGTCAGTGGCTCCCTGGTTTTCAATGATCTCTCTAACCAATGTTGGTTCGTGACGAAAATCTATGACACTGAGATAAATCCACAATCCCCACAAATCCTCGAAGTAATATGAATGGTAGTAAAGAATTCAGAAAAGTTTTTAGGAAATAAAATAATACTCTCGTAACTAAAAGTAAAATAAGCACCTACTTTTCAACAGACGATTTCAGTTACTCTGCGGAATTGGTACAGCTGATTAATACAGTTACCAGCAGTGCAATCGAGGTACGATTGAGCTTATCCACGATTTATTCCCTGTCAAAGACTTATAGGTAAAAAGAATATACTGTTAAGCTGTTTTACCAGTGCTAAATAAGTGATCTGATGTGGCAACAAACGGTTTTCTTTAGGTATTTGTGTCCATTACAATTGTGGCAATTAACCCAACGTACTTCAGTATTTATTTACCATTCCACAAAGTATTCAATAATTAACAGTACAGTTTCAGGAAAGAAACACGTTACACACTCACAGTTAAAGTACTTGTAAGTGCAAGAGCATGTTATGCAATCTACAACTGTTTATCTAAGAAGAAGTACTGTACACTCCCCCGATGTTTATCTCCATTAATCTTAGTTCCTGATAACACCTCCTCAGATTTACATACTAAATTTGTCTGGAATTACTTACTTTTGTCTACAAGTAATCCAATGTAATAACATAAACAGAGGGATTTATTGAGGTCTACTGAAGTAATTCATTAATTAGTTTTGGCTGTGGTTGTCTATAACAGACAGAGTATGACTATCAGATAAGATTATCCTAAACTCTCTGAAATACAAGATACAGTTTTAAAACGTGTATTATATTAGTAATCATCAATAACTAGTTCACACTGCAATTCAGTACATATTCCTTTTATTTAAAAGATAAAGCAAATTATTAAGTAAAATACAACAATTGTGATAATATGATGATGATGATAATAATAATTAAAAAAAGAAGAGAAGGAAAAGCAAATCACAATTCAAGTGAAAATAAAGAAATAAATATTAAAATTGAGTGAGACAAATTTAATTATCTATCCAATGGGATGGATATTTATTTAATGGAATGGATAGCCCGAAGTAACTGACGACAAACACCAACCACAACAACTAGTACAGTTAGTTGTCTTTAAATATTATTAAGTAAATTTGTGCACAAAATCTTTCCAACTTGATAAACTTTAATCAATTTATGTGCTCTAAAAGAGAAGTATAATTGTCAAACAAATGTGAAATTATGTTTCATAGGGAGATAAACAAGCTAGTTCATCCAGTAGGTGTATAATGTGGGGTTGATGACGATGTTCAATTTTTCAAGATCCCATCGAAAGCTAATTGAACACCAGGGTAAACATCGACTGTACGAGATTTCAAAGATAACTGCAAATGAACAAAAAGGCAAAAAAAAAGTTTATAGTTAGGCGGCGCTAATGCAAAAATATTCTCTCAATGTCATCAGAATTTATCATATCTATAAGCTGAAAACCCGGAAAAAGTTAAAAGTCCCTGAGAATATTTATAACCAATTGGTATACCTTGAAGATTTTAGAAAAATCACTTGACTACCACGCATAAAAACGTACTTAGAAAGCAAGACAAAATGAATGATAAATCTAGTGTTAGAAAAACTTAAAAAATTAAAGGAGTATTTTTAAATATGATAATCTTGTAACTAACCTACTATTCCAACTTTCGTGCGACGAAATCACTGTATGCTTAAGCCTTGATGATGCATCCCTTTCCTTTTTATTAACAGTATTTACATAAATAAATGTCAAGATAACGTTCACTAAGTTTGGACGGTGGAGGGGGGTGGTGGTGTAGTAGAAGCGCTGTTAAACCTTCGTAGACAGAACATGTAACTACTACGGAGTATTTCGTGCTCAGATAATGCAATTGCGTTATTAAGTAAATCAAGATGATTGAATTCTTTGTCCACAAAGATCATTTGGTGAAAGGTTAGTGGATTGATTTAGAATATAAACGAAGGATCTGAATTTTATAAAATACCTACAATTCGCATATTTTTTTATCCTTCACGTTCTCCAGTGGAATATAGGGCTCCAAGCTAACCGCTATGCCACCGACGCACCAAAGTGTTATCCACTAGACCACTTGGGCCACACAATTCGCATATACTAACCTAAATCAATTTTCAAAATCCGTTTTAATAGTCCTATACTGACTCAAAAGACTCTTTTCTAAAGTGTGATTTGCTTACACTGTGGTGTAGGTTATGTGGGGGAAATCCTACTACTGACGGACGCGTTTCTCTTAGATGACGAGTAAGTCAGATTTGGTATCCTCTTGTTTTGAAGAAAAAGAGTTAGAAAAGGTCAGTCCTAAAAAATTGTACATTACGACTTGAGAGTGACGGTGGTCTGTGAGGTTTTTGTATAGACATAACTTCACAATTTCCAACATTTTTAAACAAGCTAAGTGTTTAGGATACGTTACAGCTACAAGAAGAGTTAAGTTTGATAAAAATGAAGAACTTAGCTTACAAAATACACTATGGTAGTGACAATGGAAGAAACAACAGGGATCTATTCATGTCACGTTTCACCACGAAGATGATTATCATTTATGACATCTGTTAGCACTTAAATAGCCTTTCGGAAGGGATAATCACATAAGAAAGACAACGTTGTTTTCGATAAGCGTTAACATTGAGCCGCCAAAGGTGAAACTTCTCCATTTTTGACTTATTCAAATTTACTCTCCACCCGATTTCGAGACAGGCACATCAACAAGCTTTCGACATCAGCTGTATTGCTTGACCTAAAGATGGTATACAATTCAACTGAAAGGAATATTTTATGACATCCTTTATTGAAACGGACGTCTACGCCCATAAGACCCAATACACAAACACTCGCCATAGAGGCTACACTGAGCTATTTTACATGGTGTTTAATAAAGATGTCTACTGCCTTCATTTTTATTCAGCTTTATCACAGTGATATTTGTGTGAAGGTCTCTATTTCTACATCTGACTTCACATTGATTCACCTAATTACAGGAGACACATTAGTTAGCACAGTAGTAGGCAAATAACATGAACCTGTTGGACAAAAAAGTGGATAGTTTCTTCAATAATTTGAATGACAACCTGAAAGTGTCTGTCATGTATTTCTCAAAACTCTGAAGAAACACAAAATGAGATCTAATTGACATTTAGATTGCTAACTTATTCAAAAACAAGCCTAATTAATAAAAATAACAAAAAAAATTGACCATATTAAAACAGTGTGAATAACAAAAATAATAATTTATACACGCTTACAATGAAAGACGGATTGTCAGGTTGGATTTTGAGTTCGGCTAACACCCAAATACCATTTGTAAGCTTCATAGACTGATAGAGCATATCTTGACCATCCACATTACGTTTAGCTATGGTGAATACATTATTCTGACGTAATTTATTGCTACATGCATCTGAAATAAAACATGGAATATATTATTTAAAATTATTTATAACTGAGGAAAATTTAAAATGAAAAGGTGTTTTAGTTTTATCATAAGCTTTCTCGCACTTCTATTAAACTCAGCTTAGGGGAAGTTACGGTATACGGGGATTAATACAATCAGAATAGAAGTCAACCTGATATATTGTTGCTACAAAAAACTCGATCAATTTGAACTATGTACACGAATAAATCTAACCCACTACGTTTAAACGGAATACTAAGAATAAATCGATAATTTTCTGATTATTAAAATCAAGATAATGTATGCATAAGACATACTTTACCTTTACGAAGAAAAATCAATCATGACCTAGACAGAATAAGCGACACACTTGATAAACAGAGCTGCTACTAAAATCAAGTTAATCGGTAAACAAAAACCAGAAGTTTTTGTTAGTAGATAGTTGGAAGTAATCGGCAGGAAGCCTTGGAACTAGGTTTCGTGATAGTTGGCACTCGTCAGCAAGGCGTATCATGTCCCTTCTGAGATTTGAACCCGTGTCACCCAGTGCTGCATTCAGAGACGTCACCACTGAGCAAACTTGACTGGGAGAATTCAGTTTGCAGTAAACAAAGGACTAAACATATGGCACTAGTTAGTGCCCAATTAAAAAACAAAAGTTATTTGGAAAAACACTTACCAGCAGTAAGATTAATTGGACTTAAAGTAAACTGTTGTTCATTTTGACTAGGTATATCTTTCCAGGTAGCTAAGAAAACTCGTTTATCCATTTCTCCATCTTCAACAAACAGAATATGCATTGGAACCAAAGTGGCGAAGTAAAATACGTCAATATTATTTTTGACAGCAATCTGTTGAAAATTATTTTTTGAACAAAAAAGTAAGATGAGAATAAAAACTATTGATTGAATATGACTACATAGAACAAACATAAAATCCATATATAATGGGTAAAGTGTAAGTGACTATTATATAACAAAGGCAAAGTATAAATTGATGGCAGAGTTGATGACGCAACTCCTTCTGAGATTCAAATAGAAGCAGTAGAAAAAACGACGGCTAGACTAACTATGAAAGTCTTGTCTAAAAATACCAAAGCTCGGGAAGCTACAAAACCATCAGTACATTTGCAATCTAAGCCGTAAAATTCCAGGCACAACATGAAATATTTACATCAGTGAATGCGCTATGGATCCAATTAAGCTGTAAAAAGAAGTTCAGATAAAACAATGAAGAGACTTGTGATTGTACAGAGATATTTTGCAAGATATAACAGTCCGAAATTAAGGCACCTAAAAAGTACGTTATACGTATCATAACTAGAATTATACCGCATGTAGTACGAATAACATATTATACACCGTGTATCTGTTATTGATAGTCATTCACATGTTTCAACATTTTTGATAAGGAAAGTACTTGCGAAGTGGTACTATTTCATAGAAATAATCTTTCCATATAATAATGCTTTAATGTTACAGCGTATTACGGAGAAATAATACATTAATGACTTTCAAGATATAAGTGACCAATTCAAATTGAAAATGAATTTTTATGTTTCTAGTACCTATGAATGGAAACATACGTGTTTAAAAACCTGAATAAAATGGTGTGATGGACAATAAATTGTAACCGAACGTTAGAAAAGCTAACTACATATCGCACCATTACAATGTAATGGCCACTGTCTACCATTATACAATGTAAATAAAAACTTCGACTGAATCACAGGTGGGTGAGTCGTTGCGTAATATTACTGCTACATTCACAAGGAACTATCCAATAAGCAAAAAAAATTCACGAATCCAAAAAGTATCAAAGAAACTAACCTGAAGATTCATAAGTGGATCCATCTTCATTACAGGACCTGTGGTTGCTAAAGGAAGAGACTTGTTAACAGACTGATGGGGCATTAAAGGAGTGGGAACATTTAATGCTTCAGTTGGAACTAAACCGAAGCTATTTTTGTTAAACTGTATTGCGAATCCAGACATAGGGGTAAGTGCATTATTAACCAAAGTTAACTCCATAGTAGCCTGCCCCGTAGCTGTTTTACGAGAGAATGTACCACGAATTTCCAAACCTTTACCACGAGCAGCTTCTAACCATACAGTTGCAGGAGGCACGAAAGAAGAGCTACTAGCACTGGAGAGATCAGACATTTTAATTCCTCCGAAGATATCAGCTAACACATCAGCGGCAGACGAAGACGCTATAAAAAGTGAATAAAAGAGATTTATCGAGAAGCTAATTTAGTCTAGCATTCAAAACACAGTCAGTTAGAAATTAATTCTGTTAAATCAACGCCGTACACAATTAATTTTCATAACATTTTAAGATAAAATAGTCGTCAGTGGACGTGAACATTGAACGTTTGTTTATTGGAACTGGCAGCCATTGGTGGGCAACTCCAAGGCGCGAGTGGTACGATCGCGTACAAGTTGGAAGAAGGCAGAAAGAACACGAATAAAATTACTTTATGACTTCATTGTACTAAACATTTGTTTGTAGACTTTGTAGTCGTCTTCACTTTAATTGCCAAACAATATAAATTCGTTCAAAGAATACAGGTGTTTTGGATTTAAAGGTTGGGACAATACATAGTCTTTATCGGTTCAAAGCGTCTTCCTTACAATAGGAACTTAGGGCTAAGTCCCTTGACAATAGTTAATGTCAGTAAAACGTTTGAGCATTGTGGAATAGATCAAATAAATTATAATTATATTTCAATAGTTTACACACAATGATAAGTTTTTGTTTTTGGTAATACTTCGAGCAAAATTACTGCCCCTGATCTCATTAACTGTTGGAATTGTTTCGTTTTTTAATTCACACTTTTATGATTTGTACTCATATATGTAGTTCATTTTTGTGTATCCAGAATTATATTCCAGGTTGTTAACAGTTGTGCTGAGTCACCCTTGTTAAATGTATCCGGTGTGACCTTAATGAATATAGATTCCGTTATTAGTCTCTCTTTTCATTTGTTCATATTAGAGATTTCAGAATACAAACACTATTCCAATCAATATTGTGGTTTTTGTCCCATGCATGTGCAGCTATAGACGAATTTTTCTTCTAAATTGTCGTAAGATAATCACAATCGATAAGACAATGAGATACGATAAGCTTGTAAAACAGCAGTCAAAGTATACATTGAACGATTTCAAAAAATAAATGCACACTAAGCTTCAGTGAAGCGTCTGATGAAAAATAATAAATCTCTTACCTCCTACTGTTTGACTTTTCTGTTCTTCGTTCGCATATGTCCCAGTTACGCCAGGGAGGAGGTCATCTAAGCCATCACCTAGAAGATCAGGGGTTGTTGAATCATATCCAGTAGGTGGTACTGGTGGACGAGCAAATTGATGAATGGCTGTTGAATCATAGGTAGGTGGCCCACCACCGAGATCGATATCCAACAGGTCACCAATCAGTGTCTCCTGAATTACAAAAAGAAAAAACATTAAACATGATCTTTTTGATGACAGATTTTCACTTAAACTCATACTTCTCATTTATCCGGAAAAAAAGACAACTGTAAGGGAAAGTATCTACACTTTGTATTTACTGCAGCTTGAAGTGTACAGTTTATCTTTTACTTGGATAAATAAGCCTTATCTAAATGTGATGATGGGTCAGGCAGAATACATTAGCATTAAATATAATCTAATTTTCTCTCTCATTTAACAGTTATTAATTGGGTACAATCTTCTGGTTCTTTGAATACTTCCATTAAAGGGTTTCCAAAAGATATTGTTACATATAGTGTTAAAACTTATTTTGGGGTAGACAGTCAAACTAGTCACCATTCGATGGCCGATTCGTGTTGCTACTTTGATATAAGTCTAACAAATGCACATATTAGGCATAACTCATACCATTAAAACAAAGCAATTGAAAGGTATTATGACATGATTTCTGAAAAAAAAATCAACTACTAACGTCCATGTACACCAGACTCCAAGTCAAAGAGAAATAGAAATGAATGAAATGATGCTTAAAAATTGGACTTGAGATAACTGTTCATCATGTTTGCAGTTTTTAAAAGGTTGATTTTTATACGAGTAAACAGTAACAATATAAAAACAATATTATCAGATAAATATCGAATCTATTTATTTTCGACAAGCCTTATTATGGTAGCAAGCTCTTATACGTTCTCAAATAAGAACTTGAATACCATCAACTAAGAAATCAGTCATGTAACTGAAAGTACCTGACAAAAAAGAGATAAAGTTCCTGAAAATGTACCTAGATTTGACTGACAATAGATCACTATTATTTCTTAGAAGGAAATAAAACTAAGAATCGGTCGGTCGGTCGGTTTTCGACATAGAACTTTGCACATATGTGCGGCAGTTCAAGTCGCCACAATCTATGTAGCACGCAAAGCAAGAGAAGGAAGTAGAAGAAATGCATAATGGAAACAGTAAACAGAGGTGTGAGACAAAGGAATAGTAATAACGGAGAACAAAACAGTTTAATTGGAAATCATAAGTCACAAGGAGTGGATGCATCTGCGCCACTGAGAACGATTTTGAGCCATGTCACCAATTGTTTCCAACCATTGGTTTTTACCGTCCCGGGGACCCCAACCAGGAAGTCTACATCTTCCTACGTGGCTTAGATTAACTGTTGTAGATTTCATTGATTGGTGCCATGTTTTCGTTTGACCGCCGTTAGCTCTTTTCCAGCCTGGCCCTATATCAGCTAACATTGCCCGTCGAGGAAGGCGATGACTAGGCATACGTAGCACATGTCCTAACCATCTCAGTCGAAGTAATTTCACCGTTTCGTCGATTGATTTCCCCGCCTTACCTAGCACTCGACGCCTAACCTCAATATTGCTCACCTTATTATACCACTTCGCGCGGGAGATAGAACGCAGACACCTATGATCGAAGACAGCTAATCTTTTCATGTCTTCTGCTCTCAATGGCCAGGTCTCACAGCCATAAAGGAGGACGGAGCGGACTGTTGAGCAGTACACACGCCCTTTAAAACTAAGAATATACCCAAAAGTGTATGAAACAGAGATATGAATATACCTGGGTTGGAATAACTGTAGGCGCAGAGACATCTGGTTGTTGTAAATCACCATAATTTGTTGATGAAGCAGAAGCTCCATTTACTCTTGCTGGAAGTTGACGTCTAGCTACATGTCTGCCTTCAACAAAAGAACTTGGTGGACGGTGATAAACGCTGGCTAAGCTCGCTAGGTGACAAATAAGTTCATCCAGTAGTGTAGGTTCAAGCATATCGGTCTCTTCCGAAATCAGTGGTTTCTCGGCCAAAACAACTTCTTTTGCAGCTGCTGGATCTGTGGACAACAAACGCCAGTAAATGTATCCTCTGTCCCGGAGATCTGGATTGTCAGATTCTTGTGTGGCTAGACCAAGGACAGTTTGGACAAGTTCCTGGAATGAATAAAAATTATATTGCTTGAAAACTACAGATTTATTATTTTAATTATGAAAATCTGAATTCATTCTATGAGTTTTTGTCAAATGGCTGAGTTAGTTTGTCCAACTTGTTTCACAAGACAGAGCTTCCACCCAAAAAAGTTATGAGACAATTCTGATGAACTCAATAACTATTCGGATCTATAAAGATAAAAAGTGAGATAAAGCATAACCCATGTAGTTGCGTTAAACTGTTAAGTGCTATCCACCCTCCCTTCAACATGAGACAGCTTTCTGCACCCAGAAAACGTTAGTAACCTGCTCACTTGAGAAAGTAATGTCAAGAAGAATCTACAATAGGTTTGAATTTCATTATAAAATATCAAATCTACATATTTAACGAGTCAGTCAGTATAAACAGGAAATACACTGAAAAGTGTGGCGAGTACAACAAAATGTGAAATCCAGTATTAATAACCTAATTTTAACTTAGAGAACTCACCAAAAAATAAAAATAAATGCAATTAATTATAGAATGACGAGTAATGACTTCGATCATTAACGAAAGAAATTATTTTTTACGTTACAGACCATAATGTACATACGAAATCCCATAAGTTCATGGGTACGGATAAAAAGTAAAAGCTAACACCAGTTTATGAACATTGCACAAATCAACAAATTTGGCTGATGCGGCCCACATCATAAAATCGTCATAGCGAAATATAATGAGAAAATCAAGATATTACCTGTGTATCAGATGGCCTTTTGAGGAATAATTTAACTATTGCTGTTAGCAACTGCAGTTGTACTTGGGTATTTTCATCCTGAAAACCATCCAGAAAAGACTCCAGTAACTCATCAGCATTATCGATTCTCTCGGCATACTCACCAATGATCCAAATCATTGAACCACGAGCTTCAGGTTCATCCAATGTATCAAGATTCTCACATAGTATCGATATAATGCTTTCATATTTGTTTGGATACTTTCTAAATATATCCTTTAGAATACAAAAGAAACAATGAAAATGTTACAGTTAACCTATCAGCTATTAAAAAATTCAACTCAAGCAGTATACAATTATGGAAAAAATTGAACTACATTCGAAAAATGTCTGTGCATACTCAGTTTTCATTTTTAACTCGGATTTAAACAGTACCGTGTGACGCTGGGCAAATAAGTGGCAAAGTTTGACAAAAGTGATACGACCGAATTTCGTAACCACCGACTCATCGGAGTTATATGGGTTATCTTGAGGCGGCAGTGTTCTTACATAAGTACAAACGTTAACAAGAATGCTTGTGACTAACTACCAGACTCGTGGACATGGAGAGTTCAGCTAGAGTAGTTACAAGGTCCTAATTCCAAACCGATGGTATATATGAGACCTGAGATTCGAGAGAGAAAAATGGAGTATGCGCCTGTTTTAGCCAGCGGTAATCATGAGAATGATCTCCGGCCGACGCACTCCTTTACCTCGCTGAGCCAGAAATAATGCTGGTGAAGAGGAAAGGTTGGGCATGAGGCTAGCAACCCCATCCTGTAAAATAAACACTGCTACAGAAACTTTAAGCCTCTAGCTTGAAGCCCTATGTTCCACTGGGGAACGTGAAGGAAAAAAAATCACGAGAATGCAGTTCCTGACTTTGCTGTCTTGTGGGTTAAACTTTAAGTCAAAGATTCAGTATGTCGTCCTTAAGATAGCTATCTACCTATATCTAGGCGTTCGGCTGGTATCTTGGCCCTCATATGAATTACTAGGCAACAATTTAGTTACACTCTCCTAAAATTTAAAGCACTTACTGTTTCGTGAATACTTTGCTTGAAAAGCTGATTTTCCAGCACGATACTGTTACTTACATTTTTATGTATACTGTTTTGTTCCACTTCACTCTTTGCACTTACTCCTATTTTTATTTTTGCTAACTGAATATCGTCATTTATCTGTACCACTTTTAGTGGCTTAGTAGTTGCTTTCGGAAAGTTTTCTCCCAGGGTGGTATCCAACATGGTTATTCCCATCTATAACATTTACACAATCATCCAACAATCCAGAAGCTCCTATATGGTTATGAGCTCAAGTAGAGTACCTGAATAAGAACAACAATTTCTCGACACACTCTTTACAGTAGAATATTGTTAGAATAACTCCCGACTGACAGGTTTCAATGATATTGCCACGTAAAGAGACCAAGCAGGTGTCAGAGGCCTGAAGTTATGTTTCTGGTTTCCTTATGTTTGCTTTTTCCGAGCTCCACTCAGTTTTTAAGCGATAATGAACTCTAAGATTTTAGATACCCCACTGGTCAGGCTGATCCAAATGTAATTAACATGAAAAATTTATCTTTTCATATGCTGGAATAACTACTGATTTTCACAAGCACATTAAAAGCTAACCTAGATCCTAACACTAATTATTACTTGAATTAATCTAGTTGAAAACTCTTTGGTATCCTACCCCATAAATGACCTGGTAAGGCTGAGAGCAGATAAGTCCAATTGACTGACTTTACATGATAGTGGAGTTCTCACAAAAAACGATGTATGCAAATGTTCAGTGCTTAACACCGGACTGGTGGGTATGCAAGTCTACCAAGGGGAGCTGGAAATAATTAGCTTCATCTGATGAGCATAAACCGTATACAACATCGACACCAAGAGATGTGCCATAAAAAAATAATAAAACAATGATGTAAGAGCCAGAAATACGCTTCCGAAAGTAAGATAAAGTATTGAGCTATTCATTGAATGTTCTCGATAAGTATGCTTACTTGTTTTCTTGATGCTGTTCCTCACTTGGTCTATTTTAATTTCCCTTATATTGTTGTTTAATTACTTTTGTGTAGCGCATCTCTTGGTGCCCACATTGTACAAAGTTTGCGTTTAAATAAAAATAGATAAATGGAATCGTCCTTAAGTACTCATGCAACCAAATCAGGCAGTAAAGTGTATGTAAACAGCTAAGAAGACGGTTGTCAAATTACGACGCAAACCGTTGTCTGAAACTTTATGGTACTCATGTTTAATTAGGCACTTGCAAAGTAAATATCTCGAGTTGAAATCTTACTACGGTCTTCTTTGATAACTGTGTTCTGCTTGGCATAATTGACATTAAGAAAGTGTGTAGTGCTCCATGACATGTATTACTGGTTGATATGGATGGTCGGAACCACTATTATAAATTCGTGTAGATTGCTGATGAGCCCGACACCACACAAGGATAAACGGCTGCCCAAAATCTACTTAACCTTGGTCTCACTGAAAAGCACTACTGCTCAGTGTGAAAGGTTCCCAACTCGTACCACTCAGTAGCACACATAGCTAGTAAGTTGGGCTTCAAAATACTGATTAAAGGCTTATTTGTGACTTGCTTTGAGATAGATTTCCCGGAGTATGAATGGAAATTAATCAGTGAATTCCACCAACTCAGATGCGAGAGTTATTGATTATACTGGAAGGCAGTAATGTCATGATGATCACCGATAATTGTAAAAGATTAACCCAGTAGTTCACTGATCACTCCGTGACCCTATGGCTTCACGCGAAGTATTGCATTTGCACTAGTGAATTCATCAACTAGAACAACACAGAGTCCTAGTATGCCCTGATTTTCACCAGTTTTTCATAATATTTCCGTTCATAACGAAATCAAATAAAAGCAAATTTAACACTAGATATTATACTACTTAATCGCGATGAATGTAATAAAAATTTGGTTACAGCTGGTTAAGATAATTCATCAATTATTTGTGAAAAATATTTTCCGAGTAGAGAGCCTTCTTTTTAATTACAAAACGTGAATTTCAGGTTAATTTCTCAAGAGTTACGTAAACTGACAGAAAAAAATAGGCCACAAATCGGTAGTTTAAGGATTGAGTTCACACTTATAAAACCAAACGTAACAAAGCGTTGTTGAGTTACACGTAAAAGACTTAAAAGTCTATTACTTATCATATGCTCGGATGGACCTTCATCTCACAGTAATCATGGAAAACAGAATGATTTAATTGTGAGAACTAAACATAATCTGGTTACCTTGCATCCACAGAAATACTCATTACTCAATTATTAGAAACTGAGCTAACTAAACGATGGTGTAACTTAGTAACTGACCTATTCCTAACACCACAGAGAATCTCCAGCATTTTCAAAAAGCACCCCACACTATAAAAGAGACCTAAATGTGCAGTTAATGCAGATAAATTAATCTCTAATTAGGCGTGGGTAATTTAAAATAAATAGGATGTCATCGGCGTTAAAACATCCTGAAAAAGTTAGTAATCTCACACTGGGCTCACCTTGATAACCACAACTGCTTCTTGAACGACATAGTTAACTTTTGTCTGGATGAGATCGATTAATGTGCCCACACAACGCTCTGCAGCAGATTCAATTTTAATTGCGCATCTCCCGATTGCACGAACAGCCTTCCGGACAAAATCAACGTCGACTTCTTTGGCATATTCTTTCAACTCAGCAAGAACTTGACCAATGTTAGACTGGTTAATAAGACGTATCATTATATCCAGTTTCTCAAGTTTCACATAGATCGGGTCATTGTATTTCACAAAAAACACCTAGAAAATAATTTTTTGTTTAGAATAGCAAATGAATAGATGTTAACCAAAACATACTTTAACATCCATAGAAAATCAATGGGATCTTTAAAGTTAAAATCGGAATTATGTGAAACTTAAAATGCGAAGCTACGACAAGTTGCACACTTTTAAACCAATGACTAATCGTTGCTGCAAATACAGTGTAATACTCAGTGAAATTCACTTTTTAATAAGACCTAAAACTGACGAGTAAAACTGTGAAGATAGCAGAGCGAACTTATCACGTCTTAAAGTTTCAGAGAGAGAGAGAAAACACTGCTTACCTTTATTTCTTGCTTGAGAATATCCCTGCGCTTTTGAACAATCAGATTAATATTACGCAAAGCGACATACTGAATTTCTGGTTCAGCAGAAAGCAAGGTGACTAGGGGAGGAGCCAACTTTTTCACTACTGTTGATACAATTTCAGCAGCAGGATCGACCATTTCCAACATTTTCATAATAACTTTAACAGTTGATAAAACAACGGCAGCGTTTGCATGTGCTAGTCTTGGTGATACACGTTCGATTATACTTTGTGCTTCACGATCATCACCAGGTGTGTAGTCTGCAATCGCATCAAGAATAAACACTTGTCCCCATCTAGAGTGGACGAAAAGAAACATTGCAATCACTTCGACTGGGATATATTACATTACGTTCTCAGAATTTACTAAACTAAAATTTAAAATTCATCCTTCACACATTAAATGAGTTGAACATATACTTATCAGACATACACATTTAATAATATTGAACTGCTTGAGGCATTTTTGCAATATACAAAAAATGGGGCTCTAGAAATCTAAAGAAGTAGTTGTACTTTCCAAATAAACCTAATACAACAGGCACAGTCCATTTACATTACTAACAATCAAATCACTACTATTCGAAACAGCAAGAAATACCCTTTATACCAAGTAAAGGTTTGTTTATCACAGTTGGGCCGGAGACACTGCATTTTTAGTTAAACTAGATTAGGACATGACCCATGAGGACAACAATGGTAAGACTATATCATATAACCGTCAAGAAAAAGTAGGTATAACTTTCGCTAACGACCAATTTACATTTTCAGTCATAAAAAACAGTAACATCGATGTAAGATCAACTACTTACTCAGTGCATTCATTGAGAGCCGTCAGGAGCTTGTTAATTACTGGCCCATCAAACGACAATAAAGATCTGGCAGCATCAGAATTTGTCATCTCCAAAATTTCTGTTATAGATGCGACCGCATTTGCAACAACCATAGGGTTACTGTCACACAGCAGATCTCTGAGGAGTTCTAGAAATCCGCTATCTTCCACTAATTGAGCATCTATGTCGTGCAGCTTAGCTACACATACTGCAGCGGTTTTGCGAACGTAAGGATCCTCGTCCTTAAGACATTTTCGAAGCGGGTCGCATAGATAAGCGGTTATTTTTTCAACACGTATACAGCCCATTGTTCGCACAGCAAGTGCCCTGATAAGAGGATTTGGATCATCGCAATCCTTATTACGAATTATAACAACTAACGACACCTTACCTTCACAAAGGTATTCACTGCCATAATTGCAGTGTCTGGCTGGGTCTTAGCGTAGTTCATTAGATAAAGATACACGAGTTTTTTCAGTTCTAAATTGTCGGTCTGCATGCAATTAATTACATCCGGAAACAAAGCACTAAGGGAAATTAAAATAGAGTTTAGATGCATACCTGACGTCTTTCCCAACAGTCATACTGGCGATAACTTTTTTTACTGCCTCTTTCTTTTTTTCTCTTCTCTCGCTGTTTAGCTCAGCCTTTAGCTCAAAAATTTCACCTAAGGTATATCTAAACAAAAGCTAATATTACCTTTTTTCGTAGTAGTGAAGTATCTAGCATCAGTAGGCTTAGATTGAGCCGTTACTTTTTGAAGCCATGGTCTGTTTATTAGTTAAAAATGGACTTTATAAGTTACTTAATATTCCCAAGAGTGTCAGTCACGGAAGCAGCTACGCCCTGCATTTTTAACGCCCAAAGAAGGAAACTAGCAAACGACTGAAACTATTTTGAATCAACAACCAAATGACTATTCACTATCCAATATCCAATATCCTTTTTATGCACTGGTGTGAACCAAATTGATTGCATCGGGCTAGTTTTCTGGAAGTATCTTACTCTCTGCTTCACTTGACTGTCGCATTTTTGGTTGACTTCAAAAGCAGTGGTCCGGAATTTGGTTATGTATGGTTTGCAGTATGTGGTGTGTTATAACCGCCCTGTTGCTGTGAGTGAAGCTGTTCTTTTTATCCCTTAGTCATCAGATGTCAAAAAGAGAAAATAATATACATAGTCATTGGAGATTATTTAGACTTCAAAAAACGAACAGTCAGTGAAATTTGATAATCAATAATTAAGCGAATGCATGGTATTCAGCATAGTGAGACAAAGGAGAATGCTTAGTATTGAAGGACGAGTTTATATGATACACAAAAGTAGCGTGTGGAAAGTGAGTTTCAAGGGGACAGTCCATGTGAAAACACTCCTTGTGTTGCTTCATGATTATTTAGCCTCCGCCTAAAGCCTCCCACCGAAGGCACAGTAGCAGAACTGCTTGAGAAGTGTTCAAGCGTCAGCGTACTCAAAGCGTTAGGAAGTGGGAAAGCACTTGGCTCTCTGCCGTCTCATCCGTGATCCTTCATAGGTTACCACGAGGAAGTTAGGAATGACCTAATGGGAGATGCCTTTGTTTGGATGATTCTGGTCATTTGTAAACTTGTAAGCCTAAGGTTACTGATTTTCTGAATCTTCCATTGAATAGCTTATTCCGAACACTCACAATCCCTTTTGTTGTCTGTCTTTGGACCCTATCAGAAAGACTGGCATCCCTTTTAAGTGACGGGAGAAAATGGCGTAATGCACTTTAATGTCCTGTTATACTTATTTTTTAAACAGTCCTATAGATAGCCCGGTAAGGAGTGCGTGAATGATGTACCTCCTGACAACCACTGTCGTGACTGGTTGTTAATTTACGTCTCCATTGATCATTTTTATTGACTCGGAATTCGAACGTTCTTGTCATGTGATTTACTTTTTATTAGCTTTAGTCGCTTTCCACCATCCTTTCGAAAACGTAGGTTCGAAAACACCATTAGTCCTCCACAATACTACGAGCCGTCGGTCGGTAGTTTGAACAGTTATTTTGATAGTAATTCAATCTCTAAAGTAGTGAGATACTGACCACTTAGACGGCCTAGGAATAATGATTTCGGGTTGGAAGGTTTTATTTCCAGCATGAAAAGGTATAAACATTTATGGTCTGCCTGAAGTCTTTTGGCCAGAAATGATCTCCTGTGACTCCAGCCTCTTGTGTTGCACCGTTTCTTGAGTTCCAGGTACGCCTCATAGTCAGTCTGACTCTTGTAGAATCTCAGCGCAAGCCAGCCACTTCGTTTGGCATACAGAATGTGCTGCATAGTTCTTCTCAATCATGTGGATTTTTACCTAGGCTGTAGCGTGACTAGAGGGATGATATTTGAGAGTGCCTAGTTAATTATCACTTTAACTGTCTCTTAATGCTCCTCGACGGATATTTCAGTTCAATCTTTGGGTCATTCTGCGCCAGACAAATTTTTCGCAACTGTGTTGCCGGCTTTGCTCTGGCAGAGACAGGGGCGCTTAAAGTCCTGCCGTGGTAGCTTTCAGAGAACCAGATCAAACAGTGTGACCTCAAGGTGTCTGCTACCGAGAGGGGCCTTGAGCTTAACGTTTTCTAACAGTCACTGGGCACTAGTTAGGATATAGTCCAGTTTTGTAGACTTTCCTGCAAAGCCCTACTTAGTGTCGTCTCTTAAGTTCTCGGTCAATCCGGTATGTCTGATGGTGTGTAGCAGATTTCGACCAAGCCTTCCTCGAATACACTTCGACCCCTAGTTAAGGGTTGGAACGTCGACTTCTGCAGCTACGGGAATTGGGTCATAGCCCATGTTTTAGATCTATGTGATACTTCCGAGGAGTAGATTGTTGTGTCCTGCTCCCCAGGACGGTGGTTGATATGCATTACCCAAAAAATGCTTTGCGTGGTCAATGATAAAGTGGTCTAGGAAACCACTCGACAAACTTCTTTGATCCCCTACAATGTCATCATACAGCGTCTAAAAGTCCGTTGACTGGTGGGCACCTTGTTCGTGTGCATCTGATTTGCTAGTTAACGAATATGGTGACTCCGCCTACTTCCTTGTAATTCCTGTGCCAGTCCACCAGGACCACATCACCTATAAGGACTTTCAAGTTGGCAACAGTAGGAGTAAGTCAGATTTCTGTCGGCATTATTACCTTGCTGTGTAGGCAACCAGCAGAGTTTTCGCCAACTCTGCCAATCGTAGATGGTCGCCTCAGACTAGCATGCTAGAGGAAGAGTTAATATTCAAACAAGTTGGCGCGTTCCATCAGAATCAGCCAGTTGTCTTTTTCCCCAGGTTCTATTGAGATACTTGAGTGACACTGGCTGTTTCTCTCCCCATTGTTGCACCACAATTCCGTAAAGAGCTGGAGATAGCCATACCTCGTCTTATATTCAATGGCGTCGATCAGTAAAACAATCCATATAATGGAATACGACACAACTTCAAGTAGTGCACAAGAGAGTTTGTTAGACAGCCGTATAAAGAATAATTTTGGTGAAAACAATGTAATCCATAGAAACGCAACAAGATATCAGAAATAACTTTATCCTCAATGGATTTTACCAGCGCATAGGAAGACTTCACCAACAACTCAACAGTTCTAAAATCAACGACTAGCCTCGCTTTAAACTAAACCAACCTCTTAATATGCTTGTCATCTACTACAAACGCGACAGGTAAATAGTTATTATCAGATGGTTGGAGGCAATCGGCAGGAAGCTTTGGACCGAGGTTTCGTGGCACTCACTAGTCAGCAAGGCGTATCTGCAACCTTGAAGGCACTCTTGTCTCTCCTGAGATTCGGACCCGCGTCACCCAGTGCTGCAGTCAGAGACGTTACCACTGAGCTATTCGGGCTCGCGATTGACCTCCTGTAGGACTGTAGTGGATACTTTGATTGGACACTTGGGCTTCAACAACGCCTCTCCACTCTCTTCTATTTTCTGCTGTCCTCGTCAGCTGGGTCCACAATTGACCATAATCTCTCATCTACTCCTCGCCACACGATCTCCTCCATGCCACCCTCACAACAACGACCCACTTGTCTCTTCCCATTCGGGTTCCAGTCGAGCAATGGCCTGTATTGCGCGTGGTGTCATTTGACGGCCTCCTCAACATATGGCCGATTCACCCATCTCCATTTTCTCCCACATATTTGTTGAGAAATGGATTCTTGTTTGGTTTTTCCACTGAAGAGTTCCTTGTTGCTAATCGTTTCTGGCTGGCCGCCTAGCCATTTGATCTTCAGTATGGAGCCAGCAAAGGCAGCTGTTGATAAGTCTTTAACCTGCTGGAAATCCTTTCACTGACTCATGTGCAGTGCAGGTTTCTGACTCGTAGTGAAGAACTGACTGACTTCACATATGTGTTGAAAATCCGAATGTCGTTCTTTATGCTGGCTGAATTAGTGCAGAAGATTTCCAAACTGGTCTCAGGTTGATGTGGGCGTGTCTTGACTTACCGATTCTGTCTTTGATATCTTCATCAGTTCCACCGGTGACTGAACGGTGCTGGCTGCTTAGATAAGTGAAGGAAGTAACCTCTGTTAAATCTCTCCCATTAAGAGTGATTAGTGTAGGCTGTTGTTGCTGTCGGTTATTTTCATCACCTCCGTTTTCTCCGTGTTCATTTAGAGTCCTGTTTTTAATGCCTGCTACTTCAGCCAGTTCGTTGGCTGAAGTCAGTAAGTCTTCGGGTTAGTGTGATATTAGATATCCGCAAAATTCAGATCCTCCAGAGTCTTCTTATCGGTCCAGTGTATTCCTGTCTCCTCGCTCCGAATGCACAGTCTGACGCATGATCCAGTCCACTACAGTTGGGCATTTCATCAGTGATAATATGCAAATAGCATTGTCCTACTTCTGTATGCACTTCGAACGCCTCGCTGAGTGAGTTTTTCGTTGTAGATCACCTGATTGACACTTAGCATTGTCATATAGCCAGCTGTTGAATGAGGTTGATAAAGACTTGAACACTGCACGCCAAATTGTTGAGGCAGTCTCCAAATTACTTCTCGGTCAACGTTGTCTGTCGAAGGCCTTTTCAAAGTCGATGAAGGAAGTTGAGGTAGAGGGAGGTTTGACTGCCGGCATTCTATGGTTTGTTCTGTGATGATGCGTAGAGTTGCAATTCGATCAGCACATGATTTGCCCTTCGCGAATCCAGCTTCTTCAGGTGGGTTGGCGGAGTTCTGCATTCATTCTCTCCAAGATGATGCGACTTAGTATTTCACTCGGCGTGGACAAGAGCATGATTCCTTGCCAGTTCTTGAAGAGGCCTGACTAGGATGCCCTTCTTTGGCAGCTTGAAAAGGTCGGTAGTACCTTTTCTTCTTTCCAAACCTCTTGCAACAATAGCGTTAGCACATTTGCCACAGTCTCTGGCTCTGTTTCCAGTGCTTCGGAGGGAATTCTGTCTGGCCCTGCTGCCTCTTCGGACTTCAGTAGCTTGACTGCATTCAGGATTTCTGCGTTCGTTGGAGGATTGGTGTCCACTGGAAGGAAGTTCCGTGCATGCTGCTGCTCTTGGTATCCTTGGACGAGTTGGAGGTGGTGGTTGATTCAAGAGTCTTTTGAAGTGATCAGCCCATTGTTTTATTTGTTTCCCCCTCTTGGTAATCAGGTTCCCTTGAACATCTTTTATTTGTTGCATCATCTGTGTTGATCTGTTCCCGGACAGCCAGTAACCTGGATATCTGATATAATGTTGTGAGGTCTCTTTTAACTGAAGCGTGCGTGTTCTGCTTCAGTTGCCAGCAAGTGTGTCGTGGAATTATCTTTTGTCTTTCCTAGCGCTCTTCTTCACTTCTCCCTTTATTCAGTGCAGTGTGCATTGAACTCAGTTTCTCCTTCTGTTTCTCATCTTTGCATTGAGCAGTCATCTCTTTCACCATCCTCCTCTCCTGTCTTTTATTAGCTTCCAGGTAGG